TTATACCGGGAATAAGGTATAACTTTTAAACCAGACGCGTTAATATAATCCGCAAGCGTAAGATAACTTTCTTATTTCTTAGCTTTTAAGGCGTTAGATATTATAAAAGAAGAAATAGAGTAGTATAATAACAGCCTAGTAGATAGGGTATTACTAGCTACTTATTTAAAACCCTACTATAGAAATACTTTTAGGCTAAAAGCTTTAGAAAAGGGAGCAAGTATTATAACCTGTAATATAAACTACCTAAGCGCAGAGGCACTTATAGAGATAAATAAGTAGATAAAATTAATTATATAGAACTAGGTTATAGAACTAAAAAAGTTATATATAGAATAGATAGAAATCCTAGATTCCCCTATAGACTGCTAGTAGATAGGAATAATCTAAGAATAGAATATTATAGAAACAGGGTTATATAATAGCTTAAAAAGCTTAAGGCAGTAAGCTAAAAGAGCGCTTAAAAAGCTTAAGGCTATAAGCTAGAATAGAGCTTATAGAGCTTAAGGCTATAAGCTAGATAAGTAAATAGATTTTTTAGAGCGGAGCTTTTATATATAAGGACGCTTCTTTATATAAATAGAAACCTTATATTTAACTTAAGACTTTAATACTACCTATTAGAAGTAATAACCCCGTTTTATACCTAAGATTAATCTTACCTTACCTTTTAAAGACTATTACACCCCGATAATAACTTAACCTATACCCTACCTTAGTATATAATAGAAGGAAGGTATAGAAAAAACAACCTATTATACTCTAAGCCCTATATTAGAAATCGAATTCACCTAAATAAAATTAGTAATAAGCGTTCCTAACTAGTATATAGCCTAAACGGTTACTTAGTACTAAAAAATAGAATTAGTAAGGCGTAACCGATGCAGAAAGTAAAGAGAAATAAAATTCTTAAAAATAAATAGATAAATATCTTGGAATAGAAAAAATAATAAGGTGTAAAAAATTCGGAGTATAAAAAGTATAGTAAAAACGCTGCTAGTAGTAAGGGTATAAATTTTAGAGATTTATATATTAGCTAGAACTATTAAAGTTAAGTTTAATAAGTTCTAAATCGCATTTACTAGTATAAAGGTAGGTTAGTTTTATAGGCAGGTAGAGAGTTAATCTCTACTTTATATATTACGTAAGTAAAAATCTACTTTTAAATTTTTTTTAGTTTTACTATAATTTAAGGTTTTATAAAAGGTAAAATAATAATAATAATATATATAACTTAATATAATATATATAGCTATTTTATAGGGCATTAGCCTCTATATATATTAAAAGAATCTATTTTTAGTTTAATCTTTTTTTATCCTAAGTTCCTATATATAGCTAACTACTAGGTATCTTCCTATAATATACTCTATAAGCGAACGGCCTACCTAAGTAAGTAGTCTACCTTATTACCGGAACGCGCTTTGTTAACTTTTAACTACTATACCTTAATAATATAATACGCAATTAATTTAAAAAGAAGGCTAGATATATATAGCTATCTTAGCAATCGATAAAAAGTAGTTTAAAAGCGTGTAATGCGCTGTTGCAATATATAATATCCCCCGAACAACCCTATAATAACAACGCGACGGAATAACCGCCCGACGCGATTATAAGCCTAATTTAAAGAAGCTTATAAAGCTAGAGGAATTAGTTGTTATTTAATATATAATTAACCTAGATTTAAAAGGGTTTACACCGCAGCTAAGCGCTGTATAAAATATAGCTAATAAGCTGCTAAATAAGCGCGGTGCCGGCTAGGTTAGCAAGAACTAGCTATATAACTTTATTAAGCGGACTAATAAGCTTTAAACACGGTTTAATTAAAAGTATAATTACTAAAAAGCCCTATATAAAAATCTAAGAATTATTACGCTATAGTTTAAGCTTATACGTAATATAAAGGCGAAGTATAACGTAATTTATAAGTTAATAGCCCGCACAAGCTAGTAGCCTACCTAACCACGCTACTAAGGCTAAATATTCCGAATTACTCCACTATAAATAAATATATTTAATACAGCTATATACTAGCTAGCTGCCTGCCGCCTAGGGCACGTACGTGTATTATATTTTGTTGATTCGCACATGCTGCACCTAGGTTTTACTTGCTATAGCCGCTCGGCCGGTGGCTCTACTGCCTTCTCTGCTGCCCCTTCCTATATAGGTTATACACGATCGGCTGCTTTTTTACCTAATAGAATACCCTTTCTAGCTATATATATGCGCTTTCTTACCTTCTTTTATTTCTGGCGCTAATTCTCTATACGCAGCTTCTTATTTTCGCTTATAAGCAGCACGGCGTTTAATATTACTGTTTCGCACGCCTTAATAATTTAGCTAAAAGCCTATTCTGCTGGACTTTATAGGCTATATATACGCTGCTAGTAATAGCGCTTTAGCAGGGCTGTCTGCTTTTATAGCTCGGCGATATTATAGGGTGTTTCGGCTGTCTAGAATCTATTTAATTATAGCCGTAGAAAGGGGGGTAGCGGCGTGTAATATCCGGTATACAGCAATAATAGCACACGATCGGGGTTGTATAGAACTAGGCTAGTAGCTGTAAATCCCGCCCGTATATTGCCTGTATATAGTGCCTCCTGCCTGGCCTGCCTATATATAGGTAGGAATTTGTGTTTATCGATATAGTTAATACTATAGCCTATAATCTATTCAACTAGGCGTCTATAGAACCGCTTTAGCACGGAGAAATAGCTAATATCTAGGGGCTATAGTAGATGCGATAAATATGCAGGCATGCAGACAATAATAATATTATAATCTAGGTAGAATTAGTCGAATTCGGGGTTTATATAGCTATCGTGGCCGTCTAATACAAACATCCGATGCGTGCTAACTGTGCGATTTTTTGTATACTTATAGAATAGTTTTAGCCAGGCAAGGCTAATTTTATTTATTATCTAGCTATTTTTACTAACGCCGATTAACTATTCCTTTAGAATAACCTCGTACTAAGCGGCTTAGTATATTATTGCTTTAAAGATAACTAGGGGTGGAATTTTAACCCCTATTATATTAATATATTCGATAATTATAACCTATTCTCGATTGCCCGGCTGTATAGTTCTAGGCCGGCCGGCATAGTCTATTCTAGTAATAACCCGGGCAGTTGTAATAACACCTATTTAGCAGCCGGTCTTATTAAAATTCTAGGTGTCTTTATTAAAAATTCTATATTATATCTTAATATCTTGCACGCGTTTAAACTAGGCCCGGATAAGCACAGGATCTTCGTATTTAGCACGCTAATAGTCGTATTTGCGATTAAATTTGGATTTTAGGTTATTATAGCGGCTGATAAAATTTCGCACCCAGTTCTAGCCAATAGTAAAGGGGGTATTCTATACAACGCGTTGGCTAGCTAGAATACTAGCTATCTGCCGTACAGTAGTAATACAGGGCGGCATACTACGCTAGTCTATCGACAGAATCCTTTATATAAGAACCTCTTCTTATACAGGTGTAAAACGGCGATTTTTAGAGATAGCACCGCGTTATAGAAAAATACCACGGGCGCGACGCGTAACCGTTTTTCTGGGCATATTATATAGTTTCTTAACGCCTTAGAAGGATGTAATTTAGCCGGTTTTATAGGCTTAAACGCCTAGAATAACTCTGCCTTCTTAAAAAATAGCTTCTTATTATTATAGTGCTGCTATTAGGGTGGTTATTAGACAACGCGTCGCGTGTTAAGTTAGGTAGGCTACTAGCTTATACGGGCTACTAACTTATGGATTACGTTAGTATTATAAATAATAACTTTTATAACTTTAATAAAACTAGCTTTTAAATAGGTGTTATTTTAATAAAAGTAGTTATTATAGGCTTTAAGAAATAGAATTAACTAAAAGCTATATAACTAAGTAATCGCAAATAGGCTACTATAATTAAGGCTATTAATACTTATAGGTAGGTAATCCCGCCGTTTATTATCCTTGCAGGTAAATACTACCTTTTTATATAGTATAAGGGCAGTAATATACTACTAGACTAGGCTATAGTAATAAGTAATAATAGCTAAATAATAAATAAGCTTAGTATTATATAGCTGTAATATTTTAATATATATATAAAGGACTGCACTATAGGCGTATATTACTTACTTATTTTAGACGGTTATAAAAGCTATAACTCGCTTAAATTTAAAGAGCTTTATAAGAAGAATAATATTATTACGCTATATATACTGCTACACGCCTTATATTTATTATAGCCGCTTAATATAGGCTATTTTGCGCCGTTAAAAAAAGCGTATAGTTGCTAAATTAAGGATTTAGCGCGTAACTATATTAACTATATTATAAAGCTTAAGTTCCTACTAGCTTTTAAAGCAGTATTTAACAACTTATTTATAAAGAGTAATATTTGCGCAAGCTTTTAAGGCGCCGGTTTTATACTGCTTAATCTAGAGGCAGTACTTTTAAAGCTTAATATTATACTTTATACACCGTCGCCTCCCGCTGTAGAGGCTTAATAGGAATTAAAAACACTAAGTAATGCTCTTAAGCTAGGCTTTTAGTTAGCTTTAATTTATAATCGCATTTAAATGCATTAATATAGCTCTCCTACTGCAATTCTTAAGTTGCTTGATTCGCTCGTTAGAGGCGCTGAGATGCAGATGCATAGGGCTGTGTTATTGCGCGATCAGGTTACAAGCCTTCAAAAGGCGAATAAGGCCGCCACAAAGCGTAGAAAGCGCAAAAGAAAGCGAATTCAGAGGCAAGGAGTCCTAACAAAGGCACAGGGCTCTAATATAATCGCTTAAAAGGAAGCCAATGAACAAATTGAGGGGGAAATGCGTCAAAATAGGAGGCACCCGGGTGGAAGTGCACGGCAGCAGGCGCGCTGCAGGCGCTGCGGCGAGACAGGACATAACTCTCGTACGTGTCAAAAAGATAAGGAAATTGTTGTAGATTAGACTGCAGGTCGTATTAAGTTAATATCTATTGGCGTTGTGGAGCAATTTGCATTTAATGTTGCGATTTGCTTGTGAGGTGGGCCACTCGCTTGGGTGGGCCGCTCGCTTGTGGAGTACGTTATCATACTTCGAGAACCCAAAGCGGGGTCGACTGGAGGCGGACTCGGACGCGACTCAATCGCAGAGGGAATTGTCTGCTAACATTACTGTCCACAGCTACGTCCAGAGTCCTCCGGCATCATATACGCGCATACCTCGTCCACTAGCCGTTCCAAGGACTCATCTTCAACGTCATCGAATTGATTCTGCGCACCTCCCACATTGCGTAGGGCCTTAATATAAGATTGCTCACCGGGCTGTCTGAACACGGGAGGAAGCTTGGCGATTTCTTGGTTCAAGCGGTGGGCGTTGACACCATTCTTGTATACAAAACTTCTTTAGAAGTCGTCTCATAGGCCTTGTAATGCTCCTTCTTGCGGCATGTGTTCACGAAGAGCGCCCGACCAGAGGAACCGATCCAAACCTTCCCATAAATCTTCGTGCGCAGCGCCCTGAACTCCTTCCAAATGAAGTTGCCGTTTGCCCAATCGCGGGCCTTAACGGTCAGCGGCTTCGAGAAATCGCACGAGGCCTTTGAGTCCATGGCCCAGCAGTAGTCTTTCATCAATTCATAGATCTCGACAGCACGGTCGATGCCCGTGAAGTTGAGCACGCCGCGCATGAAGGCGTTGAAGACCAACGGCATTGGATAGCCTTTGGACGGCTTTGCCGCTCGGTCTCTGTTAGTCCCCATGGTTGTGTTTGGTTAAGTCGCTAACGTCGCCCACAGGGAGGGTCGTCGAGGTTTCGATCGTGAATGCCATTGCGAACTTGGTCGTGCGGCGGCATTCTACACCACGATGTCGACTGCTGCGCCCCGTGGAAGGTATAGAGGATCTTAGACGATGCGAGATGGAAGGTAAAGCCGATAACGATGGTTAGGATGGGCTCCGCGATGTGTACCGGCGTGGCGATAGCAAGAAAACTTGAGCTAGGTGCCATTCAAAGATGCAAAGGTACTTCGTAGCGTGGTCTAGGAGCGTTTCATTATTATGAGCTGCATATTCTAAGCGCTACTCCCAAGCCACTCGGCACCCGGGACCGAGGATCGGCCTCGTGTCGCGTAGGGTTTTCTCTTGTCAGCTTCAACGTCTTGTTGCAGCCACTTATCGCATCTGCATGACACCATCCGCGCGCGAATGGCAAAAGCCCCCCGTCCTCCATACACGCTCGCTCCCATCCCGCGTGGCCCTGGCGCTGACAGCACGGCCCCGGTGTTCCTGGGTACTTGATGGGCCCCGCCGCGTGTGCTCCCGTGTTCGTGGCGACCCGCTTCCACGACAGCTAGCTCTTAAAATGCTCCTTCTTGGCCCTCTCCAGGCTGCTGTGTAGCTGTCAGCCATGGAGGACCCCGCGCAGCATCCGCATCTGTGCCCCATTTGCTCGAAGCAGTTTACTAGGAGTGAGTTCTGTTTCCACGACTCGATCCCTTCAGTGACTAATGTCTGCTAGGGGACCTGAGAGACCGCCATCGACGCCGCTGTGAGAAATCCATCGGAAAGCAGAGGCCCACCAAAAAGCGAGCTTGTGAAAGCTGCATTGCTTCCAAGGTCAAGTGCGACCACGTCAAGCCAGCCTGTATGTTGTCTTTCCATGTGCATTCTTGCAATGGCCCGGTTGAGCCCTGTGTTGGCAAGCTTCGCCGAACTAGCTTAGCCATGATTCCTATCCCATGTCCTCTTTCCGTGGCGACTTGATTATGGCGATGCTGATTCGAGCTCATAGGTGACCGCTGTATTACTCGCTCTATCCAGTGCGAGTACAAACTAGATCCCCAGCCCGCGGTGCGAATACCACCACCCAGTCGTGCTGAGCCAGACGTCCAGACTGCCGTCTCCGAGCCAAATACCATGTCGGCCGAAGGCATTGACAGCCTCTTCCTTGAATTGATGGATCCTATTCCCGATACGGACTACGCCTTCCGAGTGCACCAACATATGCCGAACGGGAATCACATGCCGTTGGAGAGGATGTCAGATATATGGAGTCAGGGCGCCGCAAACTTATGGCACCACCCTTTCCATTCTCGACCTCACATGGAAATTCCTTTCTCCTATGAGGACGCAACTTCCGTGGAACAAAATTGGTCCTTCATGCCGGCCCCGCTCCCAGCAGACATCCAGCTGCATGATGGCCACACCAGCGAGATTCCTCGGACTGCATCGATCAGTACAAATCTTTCGAATTCGGAAAGTCATCATGTTCAGCAAGACTCGCCCCAGTACTCTCATAACCACTCTCCTACCGCCAATGCCATATTCCACTCAAGGCACTCATCGTCTGCTAACTCTGAGTCGAGTAACCACTCATCGCCTGCGCCATTATCTCCGCATTCTTCTCCCCCGCCGAACCCAAGGCCGTCCAGTAGTCTCTCCGGCCCACTTTCTATTGGGTATCGCTCCAAGTCGATAACAAAGCACTCCGATAGCCTATCCGAAGTTGCGAGAGCCGCGCTAAGCTCTCACAAGCCGCTACCTCCGGGCACCATCAGCGTTGAGGATGCAATCAAGATGATTACCGAGTATCCCACTCGGATGCTGGTGGATACCTTCCAATCACCTTTTGTCCACCCTAGACTCAATCGAGATTCGCCTAGAGGAATGCCAGAGCCCATCGCGGTTGCTCTTGCGTGTGTTGGAATGAAGATGCATGCGGAACAGTCGGGGCTCCCCTTCGTTTGCAACATATTCTGTGACCAGAGAGAAAAATTGCTCAAAGACTTGGTGAGTGAGAAGCAGAGACCTCCAATCAATGCTCAAGGCCACATGAGAGCAGTCTACTGGAGTATCGTACTGACAACTTGAAGCCATCCATGTGCGGCAAATATGAGGAGATCACTGCAGCTCTTCATGCCATGTGCATCTACCAAATCGAAGGACTTCTGTCCGAAAATCGATACGACTCGAAACTCTCGCCTGCTGTCTTACATCAAGAATACTTGATCCGAATGACTCGCCGCATCACCAAACAGCTCGAAAGAGATGCTCCGCAGTTCTTTGATTCGCCTACTGCCAGCAATATGCCTTGGGCGACGTGGACTATTCACGAATCACTTCGGCGTGTTCTCTTCTTGCTAATGATCATCCATCAGCTTCTCGGCGCAACTAAAATACTAGATCCAGTCTACTTTGAGCCACTTTTCTACGATCATATCTCCGACCGACTACTCTTGCCATGTCACGAGAGTTTGTGGAAGGCAAGTACCCAAGCAGAGTGGGAAGAGGCTAGGAAAGGGCTTGGAACCGGCGAACAAAGGTGTCTAAGTGATGCAGTTAAGCAGCTCAATGCGCAAGCTGACGGAAGAGACACTCTAATGAGTGGAATTAGTCTGGAGCGCGACGACGCTCTCAACTATTTCGAGCAACTCTCAGAGATCACAAAGTTGACAGTAAGCGTGGCACAGATCAAGGTAAAATATCTTTGATTCTTCGCTACGGTCATTAAAGGGAGCAAGACTACGGAGGTGACGGTCAAGGTGCCTTCTACCAACCACCCTCTTTCAACCAGCCCTCAATTTGCTCTGCCCGCCTCGCCGCATCCTCGATTCCAACCCAACCGTATCCTTCCCGCACCCCATCAGCAAACGCGTACAAGCAACTCAACACAGTCCTCGCTCTGATTGGCACTTCTTTTTGCAAACTGTTCCAATCCCATTCAATGTTCTCGACTTTCTCCGTATCGAAGTGGTGGAGCTGGATGGTCACCGGCTCATCGTATGCAGCTGCTTGCAGGGAGATGCCCGAGGGCGAGACAAGCCGAACTTCGCCGTCTTCGAAGTTGATGCGCCACTCGAGCGACGGAGTGCCCGGGAATGGCTGGCCTCGACGGAACTGGAAGAGTAGCGTCGCATTATCAGCTGTGTACTCAGATCTGAGGCGGCCTGAAGTAGTTCGTTAGCGACGGCTCCATTGTGCGGCTTCATGAACGCAGTAGGCCACAAACCATCTAAGGAGAGAAGGTCAGGCACATCCGAGCGAACTGTCTCGATGATCCTTCCACTTTTAGGGTCTCGAATTCGTATTTCGGGGCGTTGAAGCTCAAAGCGTGTATGCACGGTGCCTGGGATGAGCTCTCCGACCACAAATTGTACGAAGTCGATCACTGCTGCGAGTAAATATGCGCAATAATAGAACACATCCGCCGGTCTTGTTTACTCACCATGACCGAACCCGATCGTGATAGGGTTCCCGCCAACCTTCCTCTCCGCGAAGTATTTCAATCCCACTGGCAACACGCCTCGATGATTTGTTCCTCCGTATGCTCTCACTTCACTACTTAGAATCTTTCCTAGCCCCGCTTGCTCTACTATTTCTTTCAGCTTCAATACAGGCGGTGCCCACCTTCCTTGCAGCCCAACTGCAACCCTCGCATTCGACTCTTGTGACGCCACCACAAGCTCCCGGGCTTGCGCAATGTCTGATCCAATCGGCCACTCGATGTAGGCATCCTTTCCTGCCTTGATGCTCGCAAGCGTTGTCTCGTAATGCTTGTCAACGCGCGTGTTGCAAACCACGAAATCCACCTCCGGATCCTTGGCTAAATCACTTGGGTTCCCATACGGCTTCGTCGCTAAGGAGAGGTCGTATGTTTTGATTGCTTCTTGTGCGGCCTCGGTCGAAGAATTCAGGAGCGCGGTGATTGTGAACTTAGACCTTCCCGTGGCCGTAAGGAAATTGGGGAGGTGCGCAGTTGACGCCCACGAGGTGACGGCACTAGCGGAGAGCCCGATGAGCGCGGTACGCAGTGGTTTTTGCGGAGCTGGACGAGCCATGTTGAGTCCGAATTCGCCTATTCAAGGTCTCAATTAAGTCTTGACATACGGTACAAAGACCATAGATGAACGATCAATTTATGGGGGATCAGAAGATCAGCTATGGATTTGTAATGGAACCGTTGGTTTGTCTTGGCCGCAAGCTCTTAACCACAGCATCGAAGGACCTCCGCGATGATGACATAGTGCAATGTTGGTCCGAAGTGCTGTGCCTCATCGAAGCGCGTGCGAAGGCGGCAAGGTTTGGTCATTTCATCCATGGAGCACCGAGTTTCAAGTCTTTGTTTTCGGATTACGAGATATCACGTGTTTCAGCTAGCATTATTCCGAAGTCGTGCGTATCGTGAGATGCTATCAAGCTGTCCTTCAATTCTAGCAGTACGTTCCACTTCAATTTCATCTTCCAGCAAACTCATTCCCGTCGATCGGCCTTCTGTGCTAGCAGATCACGTGCACCCCTTGCTTTCTGTTCTTTCAGCATCCCCAAATATGCCGCAAGCTATGCTGTCGTCCCAAGCCCATCTTTAAAAGATCCCTTAGTCATAATTCAGTAACTCCTTCGGCCAGCCGTTGACCTTGCCGCCGGGCAAATTCAAATGCACCTTTTGAACACCTCCGACGCCAGTGATCCAGATGTCTTTGCTATCCTTCCCAGCCCAGGTGTTTCCAACCGCAACAAACTTAGTCTGAATCTTGACTAGGAGATCACCCTCTGGCGACAGGATATCAATGCCGTCTCCCACACCAACGAGGACGTAGCCATTGTCGGCGACACGGAGGCCGTCGGGCAACCACTTCAGACGAGTTAGCAAACGTAGTGCTTATGTGGCAATCAAAGCGGCGCAATTTACGAACCTTGTGCGTCACATGCCACGGGCGGGCATTTCCCAGTGCATTACCATGATCGATAACGTCGAATTTCCATACGACATGGGGATCAGTCACGTTGTAGGGGTTGTAAATGACCTGTCCGACGGCCGGTTCATGGTCTGGTACTGTTTCCGCACCTGAGTCCGCGACGTATAGCGTCTTGAAGTCTGGCGAAAATGCAATACCGTTGGGCTGCTTCAGGTGGCTGTCTGCGATTCGGACGGAGCCGGTCTTGGGGCTGAAGCGCCACACGGCGGGCGCGAGAATGGGATGGTGTGCGCTGACGCCATTACCGAATGAGTAGTCTTTTGGGGAGTTAGCTCTCGATAACAGGTGAGCTGTTGCGTAGAGGCATTACCGTCGTCAGTGAACCAGATGTTCCCCTCTCCATCCATAGCAATATCGTTGCACGTGCTGAACCAGTACCCAAAGTAGTTATTCAGCAGCACTTTCGACTCCCCGCTCGTAGCATTGAGTGTGTAAATCCCCGGTCTCGCCACCGTTCCATCCGGCCCCGGAACGCTATGGCTCGAGCCACCAACGCAGAAGTAAAACAGCCCATTGCGGTATATCCCACCCGTAGGCGAGTATAGCGGCGGATCAGCTTTTTTCCTAATCAACTTCGGCCCCTCGTCTCCATTCAAGTCAATCACTTTCTGCGTGATCTCGCCTCCGGAAAGTTGCGAGAAATAGACCTCATTTGTGTACGGATCGTAGACCGTCGCATCATGGAAGAGGGGTGTAATTTCAAAAGCGAACTCAGAAGTGGGTTTATCGCCCAAGATCTTCAGGCCTCGCTCTTTGTCGTAGACGATGAAGTCAGCGTCTTCGACCAACCCCCATGATTCGTCGGCGGGGATCTTGGTTTGGGCGTACGAGGGCTGATCCAACGGGTTGATGGATGCGGGCGGCGGTCCTCTGTAGAAGTTCCCGGGCATCACGGCGGAGTAGCCATTGATACAAACAATTTTGGCGGTGGAGGGGCCACATTTCTCGGCTAGGGAGCTCTCTGGCGGCGTCAGGGAGAGCGGCGCTTCGGCCTCGAGCACGGCTTGTACTGAGGGCTTAGTGAATGCGAGAAGAGCTTCTTGGAATGGAATATACATTGCTGCAGTGGATGAGGGGGCTGTGAATGTTGAGGATGCTGAGGTTGAGAGATAATGATGTTGACCGCTGCGGTAGGAAGTTTACACGAGCTACGAGCTATCGGCTATGCTACATGTCCATTGCCAGGGATCGGAACAGCTGTACCAGTGATTGAGGATCAGCGTCCACTGCACAAGTTCCTCAAACCTTCGGATTCGCATGGTGACGTTGGTGACTGCCTCGCAGCGTCGAACAATCGGTGACAGTTGACGCAATCGATGCTCATGGCCAGGCTGATACGAGATGCGAACAGCTGTCCCCACTGTATCTCGGTGTGTTGAGGGGATTTTCGCGGGGATCTGATGATCTTCTCGGGGTCAGTGGCCGTGGAGTCTGCATCGGAGACGTTTGGTCGTGCGAGTCACGTGATGTCCTCTCGGAGATGGATGGTCATGCAAGGTCGCTTGTTCCCGACCCGCCACCCCTTTCTTCCCGAAGAAGATCGACGGCGGGGTCTGCATCGCGTGCGAGGGGCGCTATCGTCGTTATCGATGTTAGTCGTTTGTCAGCTTGTCGGCACTCAACGTTCACTGCACACGGCCGAAGCAGGTGGATTGCGATGCGTGCAAGTTGTGGTAGCAGCTGCACACTGTTGGCATTATCTCACATTCCAGCTGAGTGAGTAGATCCCTGCCGTGTATTACGCAAGACGCGCGAAGCGTGAAGACGCGCGAAGCGTGCAGACGCGTAGCGTGTTGAGTAGCAAAGCCGGCTTCGTTGACAGTCTAGAGACGAAGGCCTCGGTGTCCATTTGAGAGCTTCTCTACGGCAAGTCTATTCTACAGCGGCTTCTGTCCAATAATGTAGCTTATTTTTGGCGCATACCCGACCTCCAACACCTCTTTCTTCAAGTCTTCTAAGAATTGGTAGAACTCCTCTTTCGTCTTCGCAACTCCCGGGATCCCGCCTTCGGGCCATCGCTCTCCAAAGCTGCTGAATGTGTTTACCCACAAATCAGCGGATGGAACTTTCCAACTCTCCTCTTTTGCTTTTGCGCCGTAGCCGAGCTCGAATTGCTGTTTGCTGACGTTTTGGAATCCAAGCTCTCTCAGATGATCCTCCAAATTGTACGCAATGAAGATGTCCATACCAAATGCATCGGTGCTCCATTTCTGGAGAGTAGTCTGTTTCGCGAGATTGGGATACTGAGCTGCGTCGAAAGGGTGATCACGATCTACCCATTGGCTCTCAACCAACTGGATCCAGCCTCCGGGCTTGAGGAGCGAAAGTTGATTTTTCAACACGGCAGGCCAATCTTTCTTCTGGAAGCCCCAAATCAGAAGACGCTGGTGGATGAGGTCAAAGGAGCCCTCCCATCCAAGACTGGGCGGCACTGGAGCTCTGGCATCGAGTTCATGGAGCTCGAGAGACTCGTAGGGACCGCTCTTTGGCGGAAAAAGTGCAGAGCCAATATCGACACCATGAAGAGACCATTCATGCTGCGGGTATAGCCTTCGAAGATTGAGCAACCAAGTACCTTGCTTTCAGTTAGCTCGGCCCAGTCGCTTAGCGGAGGCGGAGCAACATACCATCAGCTGCGCCCGAATCAAGCACACGAGGCTTGGGTTCTTTGATCGGTGCGGTGATCAGAGTGTTCCCGGTCGCTGAAAGAATGAGGTTATGCTGGGTCCTCAGCCTTTCGATTTCTTTGATGTGATGAGGAAGAAGATAGATTCCTTCCGTGCCTGTGAACGGATTCCCTTTCCCGCCTGACTGGAAGGACTGTTTGACTTGGGCCGCACTCATATTGCTCAGCAAGATGACCAGGGGTGCAGCTGGGGGGTAGAGAAACTTGCTTCGAAGAATCGTATAATGTCTGCAAACTGCGCTGAATGTATTTCTGTATCTTCTGGACTGGCACTGCTATCCTCTCTTGCGTGCTTTGACTACTGCAAGCAGAACGTCGGAGTTCGGAGGAGGTGAAGTCGCAAGTGGCGCTCTATTTTCCACTATGTGGATCACCTGACTTGTGGGATTGAGCGCTGTGCCGCACCACTCAACTTATACAAATGGTACAAGGGTCGGAATAACCGACCACACCAGCCTTGCTTTGAAATCCGTCACTATCACTGCTCAAAGAAACACATTCTACAGGACGGCCAGTGAGTACTCTCAACCCGGCCACCGCTGAGCCTGACCCCGATGCGAGGCCTAACGACTATCTCCAGGAACATGACTGCTACATACCAGGCCCCAGGTCTAGGAGGCCTCTTCTTGGGGCGTGCGATTAAGCCCGTGCGCTGCGAAGTTCAGGTTGGACCAGCCCCGTACAACCAGTCTTCTAATTGGAACTTTCGTCCTGGAATCTACACTGCCAAAGATGTCGTGCGAGAAATCGCAGTTCTCTTCGAATCGGTAATCGTCCAACTCGGCCCCGACCCACCTGGGACTCCTTCTACGCGCTCTATTCTCATGGATGGCCTGCGCTCGAGTCTTTCCCATGAAGGTCGGGAAGCTACGCTTCTCCTCTCAGACTGGAAGAGTGCCGAGCCGTGTGAAATCACCAAGCAAGCTCTCCGAGTTGGAGGTGCTCTCTACAGCTACGCCAGCGAAGTCAATCACAAGGTCCAAGGAGATCCGCATCTCACCGTTTACAGTCCTTGTGAAGGTCACAAATGGATTCCTCCGGCCGGGCGACTTTTGAGAAGCGCCAGAAGTTCGCCGATCCTCATGATGTTGTATAACGAGTGGCTCCACCAAATGACTTGCCTACGCGATGGGCTGTTGCCATACGCCAACTTTGAAGAGGTGCAGTTGAATCTGCAAGACACAAGCGCCAGAGGAACGCGACCTTTAGAAGAGATCCGAGAAAACTTCGTCCTCAAGATTAGAGGCGGTTCAGCAAATCGAGCTGATTTCGTCGATGTTGCAAAAGTCTTCACAGCCCCCAGCCTACCTAGTGGAGGATATGGGTTCCAGTATCAGAAAGGAACCGTCCTTCCGCAGTCGTTGTTTTCAGAAGGGCGCTCGAGCCTACTACGCTACATACCTACGGCACTCGTTGAAGCAGGAAACGAGCCGGTTCTATTCGATTTCGGGTCCGATCTTTTGACTTCATCGGAGACTATTGATACCTCGTCTCTTGCTTCTTCGTCGGCTGCTCCTAGCCGCCTAATCGAAACTGCAATCACTGCGGAAGGCACGAGGCGTGATAGCTTTGAAATTGGCGCATCACAGCAACTTAAACTTATTGGGACATTCGAGAAAGGCCAGAGTTTTGCCGTAGGTATTGGGCGTATCCTTCGAGGCTTGGATCAAGCACGTCACTTTGACTTAAGCGACGAGAAATGGCTCACTGGCAAGAAAGACAGTGGATTCCACGAGGCATCAGAAATTCTGTCAGTGAAGGGCACACTCTCCCAGACGAAACCTGTTCTTATCGTGGTTCATGCCAGCGATCCTGTCGTTCGACTAGCACTGATTGGAAAGCTGGAACCTGGAAGCGTGTATTTGGATGGAGCTCCTGATGGATTCGACACTCCCAGCATTCAGAAAGGTCGCTTTGTCATCGTAAAGGGTTAGAGATCTACTGCAAAAAATGGGATGGTATCCGTTCCTGCACTCTGTCAATTTGCGTGCAGATCAGATGCGGGGCTGCAATTAATAATTCGGAGGACTTTGGTCGTTGAACGAAACGTCCATGTGTCACGTGATCAAAGCCATTCCGGGCTCCACCTGAAGTCAATCTCGTGCCTGAGCATCCCTCTCTTTAGGGATAGCTTGTTAATGATCTCATTTCTTCAAAAATAATACATGTAGCGTTTGCATACATCAACACGCATCTATCATTCTTGCCTTGATTTTACTCGTAAATACCGGCACTATGAGCGACAGTACATTGAGCAAAGACGTGGAAACATTGCTTCAAAGTCTCGATGCGTCTGAAGATACTACAGCTGCTAAGCGTGTTGCCTTGATGTTGAAGGAAGTCTCCGTTGCAGCTCCTGATCTAGGTCGCGTTATGGTGAAGACCCTACCGCGAGCCATTATCAACACCTTTGGATACGACCAAGCTCAATGGCTTCGAAAACGCCTTCCGGCCTCTTTGTTTGGCGCCAAGACTGTCGCGCAAAAACGTATTCTTCACAATGTCAGCGGTATCGTGCAATCTGGGGAAATGCTTCTGGTGCTTGGGCGACCCGGGAGTGGTTGCTCGACTTTCCTCCGCACTACCGCGAACCGCTCGACCCTCGCTGTGAAGGGAGACCTTGAGTTCGCTGGAATTCCGCACAACAAGTTCTATGAGAAGCACCGTAGAGAGACGATCTATCTACCAGAAGAAGACAACCACATCCCTTCACTGACCGTTCGGCAAACTCTCGAATTTGCTTTGCGTATGAGTCTACCAAAGACAAAGCACGGCCGAGATGTTCCACCGTTGGCCATAACGCTTGCAAGCATGTTTGGGCTAGATGGCGTCCTGGACACTGCCGTGGGTGGGGGCTCAATTCCTGGAATATCCGGCGGGGAGCGCAAACGGTCAGTAAAGACGTCCATCATTAGTTATTTCCCCGCTGACAGTCAGTAGCGTTTCAATCGCCGAAGTGCTTGCATCCGGATCTTCTCTCCAATGTTTCGACAACAGTACCAAAGGACTAGATTCTTCCACTGCTTTAGACTTTGTAAAGGCATTGCGCACTCTCACCGATGTCGCTCAGAAGACAACTCTCGCAACTCTCTACCAAGCCGGAGAGAGCATATATCAGACATTCGACAAGGTCATTGTGCTTGACCAAGGTCATGAAGTCTTCTTTGGTCCGATCAATGCGGCAAAGGCATATTTCGAAGAGCTTGGTTATATCCACGAGCAGGGTCAAACAACGTCTGAGTGCCTCACAGCAGTGACAGACCCATTGCGAAGACGTTCCCGTCGAGGAACGCTGGCTGCGGAGATACGAACTCCTCAAGATCTAGCAGAGGCATTTCGTCGCTCTAGCGCATTCGCCAGTTTGCAGTCAGAAATAAGAGAGTTCGAAAAGACGAAAGGGGAGTCGAACTTAGTCGCGAGCTCCACCATCAATCGGTCATACCCTGCCCAAGTTTTCGAATGCCTACGTCGAGAATTTCAGCTCGTTAATGGCAAACGCAAGATCCAGTACCAGAAATGGATCAACACTACGGTTCTCTGCCTCATCGTTGGCAGCGAGTATTTTGACATCTCGACTGACTCTGTTGGCGCCTTCACACGAGAGGGAGTAGTTTTCTACACTATTATTGCGAACGCATGGATGCAGTATCCGGAACTGTTCGACGCTCACTCCAATCGGCCGGTGTTGGAACGTCAGTCGAGTCTGAACATGTACCGTGCAAGCGCAGTAGCAATTGCGAGAATCCTCGTTGATATACCTCTTATTGGAATTCAGCATGCGTGGTTCATGGTGGCTTTCTACTTTCTCACCCATCATTCTGTGCAATACACGGCGGGCGATTTCTTCTACTTCTACCTGGTCCTTTGGCTTTCGACCCTGAACTTTGCGAACTTGCTTCGCATGTTTGCATGTAAGTACTTTTCCACAATAGTCTTCTCCAATAGATACTAACATTTGGTAGACTATGTCCCCAGCATTGAGGATTGCTTTCGATTTGGAGGTATCGCGTCCACCACAACGGTATACTTCGCCGGTTTCCTCATCCCAATCAACAAGATGGAGCCTATATGGTCATGGATCCATTATATCAGTCCTGCGAGATATACTTACGAAGCGCTCATTACGAACGACTTCAGAACTGTGGATATTGCATGTTCCAATTCACTTATACCCAAACTATCGCAGCTGAAGTCCGCCAACCAAGTGTGTCCGATTCGAGGGGCGCAACCGGGGCAGGTCAACGTGCCCGGCCTTCAATATGTCGAGTCATTCGGATTTAGTTACTCCCATAAGTGGCGTAACGTCGGAATCCTGATTGCATTCTCGGTCGCGTATATGTTTGTCGGGGTCCTCGGAAGTGAGATTATGCACTTCAGCGCTCAAGGCGGAATACCAGTTGTTTATACCCGGAAAGAGAAAGATCCCGTTGATACTCCTATGCGGGAGAAAGACGTCGAGAAATCAGCTGCGGTTGTTGCTCTATCCCTAGAGAAAGAGGCTCCAGACTCCGCTAGTAACACATATACTGCGGGTCCAAGCTTGGTGTGGAAGAACTTGACTGTCAATCTTGGCGAAAAGACATTGCTCAACAGTGTCTCGGGCTATGTACGACCGGGAGATCTCATAGCCCTATGCGGCGCGAGTGGTGCTGGTAAAACAACACTCCTTACGCATCTGAGCCTGACGAATGGCGCGGGAAATCTTACTGGGGACCTCGAATTCGGTAACAAGCCTCTAGGGAAATACTTTAAGAAGATCTCAGGTACGTGTCTGTACTCATAAACCCACCGCAAAGCTGATATTGGTCCTAGGCTTTGCTCAGCAATCCGACATGCACGATGGATCTGCTACCATTCGTGAAGCTTTCGAGTTCTCTGCCTTATTGCGACAGTCATCAATATACTCTAACCAAGAGAAGCTGGCGCATGTGGATCATGTGCTCGAAGTTCTGGACTTGAAACATTTGCAGCATGCCGTGATTGAGTCGGGACTTGGGGTAGAACTTTCGAAGCGTATCACAGTAAGCCATTCTCAGACACTACATTCTATTGAGGAAACTGACATGAATATAATTCAGATTGGAGTCGAGTTAGCAGCTAGGCCCAAGATTCTCTTTGCAGATGAACCAACATCTGGGCTCGACTCTCAAGGAGCCGCAAGTATCATCAACTATCTCAAGCAACTATCAAGAGATGGACAAGCCGTACTCGTCACAGTTCATCAACCCTCTGCCTCCTTGTTCCGTCTCTTCGACAAAGTCCTTGCACTGTCATCAAATGGCGAAGAGATCTAGTAAGTACACTCCTCTGCAACCTCACCAGAAACTCTGCTAACCAAAACAGCTTCGGACCTATAAGAAACCTCATTTCGTACTTTGAGGTTCATGGAGCTGTTGCTCCACCGGATGTGAATCCTGCAGAGTTCGTGCTTGATACCATCGGTGCTGGCATTGGCGGCAAGTCGGGAACTCTGGCCGGTGACTGGTCTGAGAAATGGCGAAAGTCTTCCCATTCGCAACAATTACAGTCCGATATTGACCACATAAGAGCTGAGGGTGCTGTATGGGGCGACACCGATACCATGCGCGCGTTCAATACTTCTACACTGCTTCAAGTAATACTCGTCACCAAGCGCATGCTTTTCAATCAGTGGCGTAAACCTTCGTATATCTACAGTAAGATCTGGGTGCACGTTATTCAAGCCATTCTTATCGGCTTTACGTTCTTCAACTTGGGCACTTCCCCAGTAGACCTACAGAGTCGGTGAGCAGGGTCCAAATCTCAGTCCTCCGCAACGAGAACTAATTTGAATGTTTCCAGTTCATTCGGGGCATTCGCACTTATCTTTCTCGTGAACACCATCGTGAACCCTATTCTCGCTCGGTTCTTTGGGAATCGTCTTTTATGGCAGGTTCGCGAAGGACCATCCCGAGCATACGGCTGGGTGGCATTATGCACCTCATCAATCCTTGCCGAGTTGCCGGCCATTGTCCTCACTGGAACTGTATACTTCTTGTTATGGTACTTCTTGAGTGGGCTTCCATTTGGGGAGTCAGCCATCTACGTCTTCATCTTGATCATGACCTATGAGGTCTTTGAGATGACGTTCGGACTTTTAGTTACGGCCGCAAGTCCTGATTTGAAGTTTGCGGGTCTGGTGCTGGTTTTCCTGGTGACGACTTTCAATTGGTTCAATGGTGTGGTCGTGCCATATGCACAGATTCAAGTCGCATGGAGATATTGGGTCAGTAATTCCCCGCTGTATCCTCTATAAAAGAAAGTCTAATTTAATTCCCTAGGTCTATTATCTCAACCCTTTGACTTACCTCTTTGGAGGCCTCATCATCGCGGTCAATGCCAACCAGCACGTACTCTGCGACTCCGAAGACCTGTTCAGGTTTCCGCCACCGCCCGGCCAGACTTGTGGCAATTACGCTGGGGCGTGGGCTCGTCTTACGCAAGCTAATCTGACGAACCCGGAAGCTACCAACGAGTGCCAAGTATGCCAGTACATCAACGGCAACCAATACTTGGATGGCTTTAATCTGAATAGTGGCATGCTGGCAAACAACATCTGGGCTTATTGGGCTGTCTTCGTGCTGTTCACGGCGGCAAATGTTGGCTTCTTTTATTTCTTTACTTGGGCCAGGAGTGTGAAGAAGTGGAAAGTTTTCTATTTCTTGTAGCGAGTGCTGCACGGCTTCTATCCAAATCTTTTCATATCTGACCTCTACCACCTTAAACTCCCTTTGATTTGAATGAGCACTTATCAATACTAATTCTCCACAAACTTTTGGCCATTTGAATCCACGAGACGAAGAAAGTGGAGATCTGGTGGAAGATGAGAGTATTTTGTGAAAGAGACATGCCGTGATTCCCCTGTTCTAACTCGTTCCTTGAATCTCTACTTTCCACAACAATTTCTGCGACCCTTTCCACGAGCCACATAGCCTGCGTGCCAGATAGACGCGGGTCACATAGTGAAGTATAATGCTTCCCCAGGTCGTCGCTAACTAGGCTCTCTGGGCCAACGCACTCTGTCACTTCTTCACCCGTCTGCTCGAGATGTAAACCACCAAGATGAGCACCGAAGCGGTCAAGAATACGGATAGTCTGGGCTACCTCGCTCAACAGAGTCGTCGTTTTCCTCGTCTTCACCCCGCTCTTGGTGAAGCCGTTCCCATGGCAAGGATCACACATCCACACGGGACGGAAAGGTGATGCTCTTACAGCTTCTACGAGTGCTGGAAGGACTGCACCCACTTTCTCAGCTCCAAAGCGGGTGATGATGGTTACGCGACCTTCTTCTCCCTCTCGGTCGTAGCAAAGCCTCCCAAGTGTGTTGAGAAGGTCTGCGGGAGATGTAGAAGGACCAATCTTCACCCCTATTGGGTTACGTAGACCACGCACATACTCGAGATGGGCACCATCGAGCTGTCGTGTCCGCTCGCCAACCCAAAGGAAAGTCGCTGAAGTGTTGGAGCGATCTTTGGTCAGGGCGGCTTCCATCGGCAAATGCAAAGCTTCGTGGGCAGTATGAACTTTTCTCCTAGACACCACCAGTTAGCATTTTCTCTTTGTCATCGAAAGTCGTTCAACTTACTCCGCTGTGGATAGCACATGCATGATCGCCACCGAGTGCCAGTACCCAGGCAAAAGCCTCTGCGGATCCGGCTCTCGATCAGCGATATCAGGCCCATTGATATTGTGGCCACGGAAAGCGCTGACTCGACGACCATCTGCGAGCGTTTCAATAAGCTGCGATCGTGGTTTCGAGTACTGTCCTGCCATGCGGCCAGTCACGTGAACCGGGAGTCCCGTCACTGCTTCAATATGGTTGGCTTGGTTGGCCAAAAGCGACACTTTCTGGCTGATGATGTCCGTTTTGATGTCGTCGAAGCTCTCTGCACAGTCTCCACCGACGAGAAGAAACGCTTCGCCTCGAGCTGCTGCTGCATGCTGCTCGCGGGCACTCTCAATGGAGGCGGGCGAGACGAGTGGAGGGAGTTCGGCGAGTCGTTGAAGCACGTGATTGAGATGGGCCATGTCTGGGTATGCAATACCCTGCTCATGAATTGGCATCGACTTCCACGAATCTCTGCTCCACTCCTTGCTGTGTACCGACATGGTTGATTGAGTCGAAGTGTTGAAGACTTCGCGTAAGGTTGAAATCTGAATCTGAAGGCAGTGTGAGATGGCTAGACATGTGCACAGCGAATATGATGTACCCTGGTATTTACTATGATTTCCCAATTGGGACAGTTTGATGATGTCGGAGGTGTTGCATCATGTTCACTGATCTTCACTCCGCTAGCCGAATTACTCCTACCATTGGTCACATAGTCACGGCCCTAACTCGGTCCGAGCCGTGTGATAAGCCTTCGCGAGAATACACCACAGGCCTGCCATTCCGTAGTTCATCCTTCGGATATGCATGGCGCGCTCTGTGGAATGCATCCTAGTGGTGCGGGGCGTGGTCCAAAGAACTCCGATGCACGGCTTATCGCCCCCACGCTGACCCACTGCACCCTCTTGCATCATTTACCTTCCATATTCGTGCAGCCTCCAACCACAATAGGTTTCAAACACCGGATACTGGACTACACGCGTCGAAACAGCCTGGGGGACCGATCGTCACACCAGTAGCATGATCGAGCAGCAATCGAACTTCAGTTTACAGGCTCTCGGAGAGACAGGTACCGCCAGGGTCCAGCCATGGCTTCCAGCATATATTTGCTGAGTTGTACGCCTACGATCACTGCCATGATACGCAGAGTTACTATTCTTTGAATTTTCAAGATGGGTGTGTCTGCCTCAACGCAGCGAGCGCCACCGCTATGCAAATCCCCTCCAGCTTCAGCAAAAGAAGCACTCAAAACGACATCGACGACTGTTTTTGATTCCAAACTTGAAAAGCCCCCTCTGCCTTCCAATGACGTATTCAACTATGTCTTCCATACTGGCCGACGCCCGTATCCTTGGCATCGTGTCATCTATCGGGTTAATGGCACTGACGAGACGTTGACACTGGCTCAATTGGAAGAAAAGAGTCGCAGGTTTGCCGTGGCCATCCGAGATCAGTTCGGTATCAAACCGAACCATGTAGTCTCCATATATGCCAAAGACAAGGTATGTTGTACTTTTGGTTCCTCATGAAATTCGGCACCATTTACTTGCAGCTACTCCTCTCCGTAACACTCCTTATGGAAATCAGGTTGAATGGGAAGGCTAATTCTCGATCCAGATCCAGTACCCGATAGCTCTCTTTGGAGCATTAGCGGCCGGCGCCACCATCGCTCTCATTCCATATCAGCGGGGAATGTCTGCAGAGGACGTCGCCTCTCGCCTCGAGCAGGCTCGCTCCAAGCTCCTAGTCACAGATGCCGCTCTTCTTTCCCTCTCTGAATCAGCTTCAGTGCTGGCAGGATGTGTACCGATCGTGACTCTCGACGCAGCCGATCAGCACACGACCAACCTCGATGATCTACTATCAAGTTCATCCGCGGCTGAGTCTTTCTTCGAGCTGAACTCTCATCATGAAGCAGAGAGCCACTACGCCTTCATCAATCGCACAAGTGGCTCGACTGGCGCCATGAAGTCAGTCTTGACCTCGCACAGCCACTACATCGCCACTCTCGAGGGAACAGTCAGGACTGTACCTCCAAACACCGATGCCTCCACGGACGTCTGGCTCGCAAGCTCCTCCCTCGGCTTCTTCATCAATGCCAAGCTTTTCATGTCGCTCAACATTATCCTCGGGGTCCCCGTCGTCATCATGCCAGAGCCGCTTGACGAGACCTCCGTGTCAGTTCTCAGGCGTCATTCTATCACGTTCATCCTCGTCTTTCCGCCTCTTGTAGCCAAGCTTGCAAAATCGGAGCTCAATCCAGAGGATGTAAAGACGATCAAATGGCTGCTCTCTGCGGGTGCAACGATCCCCGACAATCTCCGCCAAGCCATGCGTGAGAAGTTCCCTGGTGTAGAGCTTACGCTCGAATGGGGGACTAGCGAGACGATGCTCATTGCGATTCAGACCAGTGATCCAAAATCACGACGGCAGGGATCGAGTGGCACGCTGGTGAATGGGATGCAAGGCCGCGTTATTTCCACTGAGACGGGCGTCGATTTGGGGCCTAATGAACGCGGTGAGATTTTGGTGCGGAATTCATTGGCTAAGTTTCATGGCTACAAGGATAATGAAGTGGCTAATCGCGACTTTGATGCTGATGGCTGGTTTCATACGGGTGATTACGGGTACATCGATGAAGATTGCAATGTTTACATTATTGACCGACTAAAGGAGTTACTACGGGTTGGAGAAGGTTATGGGAGCCGTATCAGCGCATCGGAACTGGAGAATGCGGTGTTCGAACATGAGGCAGTTCGGAGTGTGATTGTGGTTGGTATTTGGAACGACGCCACGGCAACTCATCTACCTACAGCTTTTGTAGTTCCAGCACAGCAGTACAAGAATAGGGCTGGAAGAGAGCTAGCAGAAGACATTGAAAGGACTGTTGCGAGAAAGCTGACGGGATTGAAGAGTTTGGCTGGCGGCTTGTATTTCCTTGACCAGTTCCCAACTACTGGCTTCAAGATAAACCGGAGAGCTTTGAAAGAGATGAAAAGGGACGAAAGGAGAAGAATTGTGATCCAGGAGGAGAAGAGCTTATTTGCGAGCGATTGGGATAATAACACCAAAGCTGTAGTCGTGCAGCAGAAACGGGACAGCGTTATTGCAGACTAGATAATGGAGACCAGTAAATACACACCCCCTTTTCCGTGGCCGCACACCCCTTTTTTGGTATATACTCTTGGCGCTTTACTGCCTTCCTATTGGCTCGGAGCAGCGCGGAGCTTCCTCCGGGCATTCGCCCTTACGTCTCTCTGCACGTGATGCTATATGTGAGGCCGTACGTGAGCTTGTATATAAGGCTGCACAAATCGGAAAGGATGAGCTGCAAAATGGAGGGGCTGTATAGCCATGCCCATTTTACATAGCCTCACGCATGAGCTCACGTACGAGCTTACGTATAAGCTCACGTACGAGCTCACATACAAGCTCACGTAGTCTAAGTCTATGTATAAGTATAGAATAGAATTCTATTCTAGAAGTGCCTACGTGCCTAACAGCATGCTAAACCTGTCAAAACCTCACCTTATTACGGCTCCTTTGCATCGAGCCTGGTCTTCTTCCATCGCCGCCTGCATCTACTCTTCGTGCTGATCCACATACGCCTCAGCCTCATCCTCATAGTCATACTCTGCAGGACCCAGAACGTTCCTACGGCTCTCCGGTCGGCTTGATAACTCCGCTATGCCTACAGCGACACCTGTTAGACGCTGAGAGCCTCCTAGACGTGCTTGTAGAGCTGCAATCTGTTGTAGGATGCCTGCACGGTCATCCTCTTGTTCCACTTGAGGTTGAGGCTGAGCGCTATCTTGCCTCTGAGCTCGTGCCTTTTTCCGTGGTACCTTATCCTTTGCACCAGGCGACCGGCCACGCTTCTTAGCTGCAGGTGCAGCCGTAGGCGCTGCTATATGCGCTGCTATATTGTAGAGGGAGAGGAAGAGGATGTAGTTGATTGTAATCAAGGCCGCATTTGGAGAGAGCATTCGGAATTAGTGGGCAAGTTAAGCGAGCGAATCGGAGGCTCCGGGGCGGCCCTCCGAGCCAATAGGAAGGCAGTGAAGCGCCAAGAGTCTAGGGGGTGTGTATTTACTGGTCCCCTAGATAATGCTCATTCACAATTCTAATGAATTACGCCATCAAATTCGCTCGGCTCGACTAGTCACGTCGTTCGTCCTCACTAGGAGCTACTCGCCACCGAGATTGGGGAAGCCTAGTGACTGTCAAATGCATACCAAGATGAAGCATTGAAGATGTTAAATATAGTGGTTCGCCTCTCTAAAGCCTCGCAGTAACTCTTCGTTACCTTGGCGATCGGTGATGGATGTGTGTGAGCCACACTGCGCTAGGGCCATGCTAACTTCCAAGGTTTCTATGGATCCCCATTTTCTAGGCCATGTGGCGCGGCCATGTCACATGTGGGAAGTGACGGTCATTTCTGCTTTCCTTGGTAATGAAATCTTGTATATGTGCGTAGAGAGAGGATGGAAGCCACATCCAAGGGAGGCTGAAAATAGTTAAAGCCATAGAGAAAGGCGAAGACATAGCTCCTCAATAAGGAGGAGTTTTCCTACCCAAATGTTACGGCGGTGCCTCCTCCGTTCCATGAGCACCCACGTTATCAACCGCTCTTCTTCTCCCGTGTAATCACCGCCTCCTGCCTATCCAAGTCATTCCACTTATCCTCCTCTCTATCCAAATACCCCAAATAGAGATACATCACCGTCCCGATAACAAAGACAGAAACCGCAATTCCCACATACATCCAAATAATCTTCGGATCACTACTAACAGACACCAATGCCTCGGCAAGCGCCGCTCCGAACGCAACGGTCAGGAGATACAGGCTCTGAATGAAGCTCTTGAGCGACGGCGGCGACTTGGTGTACGCATACTCAGGGCCAGTAACGTTGAGGAAGATAGACGCAAAGCCAAAGAATACGTAGAGCGGCGTCTGGATGGCCATGTGGACATGATTCGGCAACGGGTCAGCGCTGTGGCCTCCTGCTTTTGCGGCTTTGCAAGCCAGTGGGTGCTTCCAGCAAGGGCCCGCGTTGTAGATGAGATGCTGTACGATAGCTGCGTACGCGACTCCAAGACCAATGCAGTAGAATCCGGTCGTGATCCGCGCAATTGGCCGAAACAGGATCCTCCTCTTCCGCAGAAGGGGCATGATGACTTGATCAAGCAGCGGCAAGAAAAGAAGAATCACGATGCGCTCCAGACTCTGCATGAAGTCGTTCGGCAGTCCATGTCCGTCCATTTGTCCGGCTTGTGCAACGAGATTGGACGACATTTGGGTGAAGCAGACCCAGATGATGGGGAAGAAGGCGAAGACTTTGCACGCGTTAAGGGTGCGTTTGAGCTCCTCGACAAAGTGGTCGTCCCAGGGCACTCGAGTTGTTTTCCCTTTAATGGCACGGACGGAGGGTTTGGGGGCGTCGAGAGAGCGGCCGAGGATCATGAGGCCGACTGCTTTGAAAGCGGTTTGTATAATAGACCCTTGTGGGGGGCGGACGGTGTAGTATCGGCGGCCCAGGATGAGGATGGTGATACCCACTGTCCCAGTTTAGTCAATGGAGAAAAACGCTAAACGAAAAAGGGAAACATACCAACAAACATGCAAAAGGTCAGAAGGAACGGCGCCCAATGCCCGTAGTCCTTCTCCATGAAAGGGGTTCCAATGATAGACAGGGATCCAAGTTCGATGCATCCGTAGTACACGAGATAGATTCGATGGTATGTGATAGCTGGGTCGATAATCACCCGCTCGCCGGTCTTCGCAAGAGTTTTGATTGCCATCGTCTTTCGGTGGTACTGGTCGGCGATCAACGGCGCGACGTTAGATTTGATCCCTCCCGTTCCAAGTGCGATGGTGATGATGGCGGCGATGAATCCTCCGAAGCCAGCCCCGTGTTCAAGAGCCACAGGGAGTGCAGTGACCCAGAGTATCAGCAAGCCGATCGTATACACAACAGCAAATCCAAGAATCGTCTTGTATCTACCAAAGTACTGGTCTGCTAAGATGGCACCAAGGATCGGAGTTACTTTGACTTGTCAGCGTCGCCATCCCTCCGTACGACGGGTAACATACAGTACGAGAAGAAAGTGAAGAAGATGGTCAGAGCAGTAGCAGTCGTGCGCCCCTTTCCTAGTCCACTCTTCTTCGTTATATAATTCTGGAAAAGACCTTGGGCACCATAGTAGGAGAAGCGCTCGCACAGCTCTACAACCGCGACAATGTAGGCAGCTTTAGGCAGTTTCTCTCCAACGCGGCGCAAGGTGCGCTTCTCGTAGAGGGTAGGCTCGTCACCATCGACGGTCTGCGCCCCTTCATCTCCATCTACAGACATGGACGATTCCAGAGGGTTCAGAATATGAATGTCGGCATCCTTTGCATCGCCGACTAGATGTGATGTCGTACCCCTTGCAACAAGCCGTCAGCTGATGATCACGTGGTAAGAGCAAGACATAGGTAGCTTACCGTGTAGCAGGGACCTTCGTATCGGCAGCCATGTTTAGGATTCGAAGACAGTTAGCCGAGTTTCAGTCTCACCGTCGCCCTCGTCTAAAATACCTGCCAAAACAAACGTATAAGAATGATATCCGACTGCGTGGCACAGCAATCACCTCATGGACCATCGACTCGCGTCATGCGGGGCTTGAACTCCATCCAATGTTCAAAGACACCCGGAGTATTTGCTATGGTAATTTCGACGTTCGTGTAGAGTTTGTGTTGGCCCTGGCTCGCTAATGACCATTCTTCTCCGAAGGTCACGTGCTGTGGAGGTCCCTTTTGGTCCGAAGCTCTTCTCACGTCGCTTTGAAGCTTGACTTGTCGCTTTGAAGGATGCTTAGTAAAGGAATGTTTCGTGTAGAAATCTCAAAAAATCTTCGCGTAATAGCAGTATAATCCAACGACTGCTACCTTGCGGAGATGTGCAGAGTACGCGCTGACAAGATTGCTGCAGCTTCAAATTTACGCCCACAAAGAAAGACATTCTCTGTCGAAGAAAGCCCTTGAGCAAGAAGACGAGAAATAGGCGGGAAGCGCTCAGCACGATGGCATGGCTACTACTACGATAATACGAAGATATTTGCGGAGAACGACCAAAGAGTCTACCCAATATTGCAGTGAACGAGACCTTCCGACGGTGAAATTGAGTGGATCACGATGTGGGAGATACGCTCACGATACGTACCGAAGAGGCTGGCACCACTTTACTATTACCATTCCGAAGAAATTTCACAGCAAGAATCCTCAATTCTCAATTATCCCACTTAAACTTCGACCCTGGATGATCTGCTCTCAACCTCGGTCCCAACCCATCGTCCAAGTAATTCTCTCTCATCGACATCCCCTCCGCCCTCACCGGATCCCAAAAGACACCCCTTGTCTTCAACTCCGGAATCAACCACTTCACAATGGCCTCAAAGTCTCCCAGATTGACCGCATACGAGAGATTAAACCCATCTACACCCGCCTCCTTAATCCAGCGCTCCAGGATATCCGCTACAGTCTTCGAGCTCTTAATCACTTTTGCTTGAGGCTCTCCGAGCGCAAGTTCAGTAGCGACTCGCTTCTTAGTCTACTTGATGTTTTCGCCGTCGGGGACGGTAGCGGACTAGGACGAGATAATAGAGCGTATACCGCCATTGTCGCTGAACTTAAAGTCCTCATCATCGCCATGTTTGCCGAGATCCGTACCGGTCCAGCCACCAAAAAGCGCAAGGGAACCCTTTAGGTTGGCGTAGCTCAAATACTCTTCATACTTCTTCTGCGCAAGGTCATCAGTTTCATCCACGATAACGAGGATGCCGGGGATGAATTTGATAGAGTTGGCGTCGCGGCCGAGCTGGATCGCCTCGGCGCGGATTTCTTGGACTTGCTTCTTGACGGCCGCGACTTCCATGCCGGGGAGGAACATGGCTTTAGCATGTTTGATGGCGAAAGATTTACCAGCTTTGCTAGCGCCTGCTTGGAAGATGAAGGGGGTGCGTTGGCGGGAGGGCTCGATGAGGCGGGGGCCGGCAACGCTGAAGTACTTGCTGGGAGGAGTCAACGGGACGATCATGTGCGATGAGGGTGCACGACAGGGGAAGCTATGAGCCCATAGATGAATGCTTACCCTTTGTGATTTATTCTTCGGACGCGGTCAGGATCGGTGTACTCCCTTTTCTCCTTGTCAAGGACTACTGCATCAGTTCGCCAAGAACTCTCCAAGAGCTTGTACACAACTTCCATGTATTCTTCAGCGATAGCATAGCGTTCATCATGACTAATTTGCGTTTCTAGGCCTAGATTCTTCGCAGCACTTTCAAGGTAACTAGTTACTACATTCCAAGCAACGCGGCCATTTGTCAGATAGTCGAGCGTCGAGTACCGCCGGGCGAGGAGGAACGGGTTCTCATATGTCGTAGACGCGGTTATTCCGGAGGAGAGTGACTTCGTCACCGCTGCCATTGCGGCAATCGGAAGGCTTGGTCATGATCAGCATAGATTTGTCTCGAGTGGAAGCAATGGGAGATCTCACGAGGGATCTGATATCGGGAACCGAGCAGCGCCGGGAAGCGCGGGCTTCAAATTCCCAGGTACTTTGTAGACATCATAAACGCCTAGCATATCTGCGAGAAAGAGGCCGTGGAAGTTCCCATCGAGGATTTTGGCGAGGTCGATCCAGTACTGAATGTTCTTGTATTCATGGGTGCGATTGCGTGGATGTCTCCATAGTCCTGAAAATTAAGGCTATCAGTTCTCTGAATGCTGTAAAGAGCGCGTATATTATGTACCAGAAGCTACGTGGCCGGAGCTGCTCATAGAAAAAGCGTTCAAGATCCATTTCTTCCGAGGTTGCGGGTCTCCGAAGCCGTTGATGTCTCCCATTGTGAAAAGGAATACCCAACTGTTTAACGACCTAGCTCGAGCCGATCTTTTCTTGCTTTGAATACTGTGGGAGATGTAAACATACCATACGAAGTCCGAATATGGTATTGTCTGTGCATGACTCGTGTTTCTGATTGCCAACCACGCAACTGCGGATCAGCCTTATGAAAATGCTATTGCACAGCACGCCACTGTGGACCTCCCTTACGAAACGACATGCTTTCTCCCGTATTTCCGAGATAGTCTGGGCTTAGCTGCTGTTATTCCCGGTGAAATATGATAAGACCTTGATAAGACCTGAAGGTATCGAAATTTTTGGTGAAAAGAACGGCCCGAATAGCTGCTTGTCTAAGGAAAACAAGAGGCTATCGCTCACAGAAATTCATGGACGGGTCTTGGACTATGTCGTAATCGAGGAGGGGAATCGCAATTTCGATGCTAAAAGGACGTCACTTGTCGACTTCGCTGAACGTGGTATTGGGCCCGCTTCGCCTACCATCTTTGAGCCTGATTCAATCCAGCGGACCCAGCAGATAGAAATAATTTCTAATGAAAAGTGACCCAAAGAAATTGACGTGGTACCTTTCGTGCTTGTGATTGGGTTCTGGCAACAACGGGGCATCGGTAGACTGCTTCCTAGGAATTTCAAAAGTTTGACAGCTCCCTGACACCTGCAGGAAAGGCAGCCCAGCACGTCAACCGGCCGGCCGGCATCAGCTCGAGGGCTTCGAAGAGTGGGAGACATATGCATGAGCGATGATCTATAAAGCAAACCCAAATGACTGATAGCGAGTGTCTTGCATCGAAACCTCGTGTTCATCGTTACACCACAGTTGAACTACGAAGTATGAGTGAAGTTCTTCAACCACCGCTCTCCCAGGGCGCGGGGTACGGTGTCGTTGTTGGCCTAGGTGTCGCTTTTGCAATTGTTATGTTGTCTTGTCGATACCACTGACACTGTGATTTTCGAATATGCTGATGACACTCAGGTATGATCTTCGTTACTCGGGCCCTGAAAAATGCCTTCGGAGAGGATAACAAGTCGACTGAGACGTAAGGCTATCCCAATCTTTGCCATGGCGATGAAAGGCTGACGATTTCCTTCACCAGATTCATGGTTGCCAATCGGAGCGTGGGAACTGGCTTGACGGCCTCAGCAGTCATCTCTTCCTGGACTTTCACCTCCGCTCTTCTGAGAGCACCGTATCTCACATATCGCTACGGGATTGCGCTTCCCGTCTAGTGGGCCAACGGCCAGAGCACCACGATCTGCTTCTTTGCGTTTCTTGCAATACAAGCCAAACTGAAGGCGCCAAATGCCCATACTCTACTCGAGATCATCAAAGTCCAGTACAGAAACATTGCGCACATAGTCTGGATCACCCTTGCTCTGCTGAACAACATCTTCAACTTCACCTCGATGCTTGTTGGTGCCTCAACGGCAGTGTCCTCGTTGACCGGCGTGGACATTATCGCCTCCACGTACTTGCTACCGCTTGGTGTGGTAGTGTACACATATTGGGGAGGTCTTCGTGCCACGTTCCTGACCGATTACATCCATACCTTCATCATGATCGTGCTGGTCTGGTTTACGATCAAGATAATTGTCATGAACGAGATCGGGAATATCTCTGCACTTTACGACGCCATTCTTAAGCTTTCGGCATCCGGACCTGTGGAATGCAATTACCACGGCTCGTACTTATCAATGACGAGCAAAGAGTCGTTATTCTCCTGCATCATCCACATTACCACGAATTTCGGCATCGTGATTATGGACACGGGATTTTGGCAGAAAGGGTTCTCGGCCGATGTCGCGGCTGCTGTTCCTGGATATATCTTGGGTGGAAACGCCTACTTCGTCATTCCGTTTGCTTTTGGGACGATCGTGGGCCTTGGTGAGCTTCTTCACGCGAGTGGAAGTGGGATCGCAAGTAGAGTACTAACACACATCCAGGTGCACTCGCTTTGGAGCAGACGCCAGCCTTTCCCACATGGCCGAGGCTGATGACACAGGCGGTCTCCGGTACGTGCACATTGAAGTAAATTTGTGATACATCTGACTGATTATCCGCAGGTGGCCTGGTTCTGCCATATACGGCTTCTGCAGTAGCCGGAAAAGGTGGCGCTGCGGCTATCCTGCTAATATTGTTCATGGCCTGCACCAGTGTTGCTTCAGCGCAGCTCATTGCGGTCAGCTCGATCATATCTTTTGATGTATATGGAACCTACATCAACAAGAGCCCTACCGACAAGCAATTGATCAGGTGGTCGCATATCGGAGTCGTGGGGTGCTCGATCTTCATCTCCTCGTTCGCAACCGCCTTGCATAAGGGTGACGTGGACTTGAACTGGACGATCTACATGCTTGGAATTGTCGTTTGGTAAGAAGCAGCTCTTCTGTCGAGAAGCGTCCATTTGATGAAGGATTGCTGAGACTGGTATAGCCCAGGAACGTTCCCGACGTGCTTCACTCTTCTCTGGAGAGGCCAGAGCAAAGTAGCCGCAATCATCTCGCCCATCATCGGCATGCTCTGCGGCTTCGCCGTCTGGTTCGGAACGGCGTTCGAAATGTACAGTGAGATCACCATCACATCGACTGGGAAAACGTTGCCGTGTATGTATGGATGCTTGACGTCGTTCTTCGTCCCTCTTCCGATCACGTTGGCGATATCTTTATGGCGGCCACAGAACTTTGACTGGGACACGTTCTTGACAATAGGACGAGTGCAGTCGGAGCACTCGATCGGCCGAAAGTTCAACCGGGAAGAGTACTTTTCGCTTGAGCGAGTGCGGTACATGAAACGCGCGTCGAGGAATGCAGCGTTATGGGGTGCTGCAACGTTTGTCGGTCAGGTCTTGCTATGGCCATTGCCAATGTACGGCTTGAAAACCATTATGTCCAAGGGACTTTTCACGGCCTGGGTCGTCGTTGCCCTCCTCTGGCTATGGGTGGCTTTGATCATTGCTAACTTCCTCCCTCTTATCGACGGAGGGGCCGTCCAAATCTGGGCGATACTGAAGATTATAGCTGGAAAGCAAAAACGCGATGACTCGGGCACTTCGACGCCGTCAGAAGTCGTGGTAGAGGCGGTGCATGTAGAGGAGAAGTCATAGAAGGTAACAAATGGCGTTGGAACGTATCAAAAGGCACCGTATTCGCATTGCAGCAGCGCCTTTCAGGGGAAGATTTGCGGGATGCCGAGGATATGACGATGAGTGATGCGGGAGTGCCCAGCAGGCCAGGTGGTGATGATGGAGGAGACGAGGGACGGTTAAAGGTAACACCAGCATGACCAGAATGAGTAGCTTCCAATAGTAACTTCATCACCTATTTTCCGAGATCAACCAATTCAGATCCTCTACACCACGTCCAAACGATTGAACATGGAGCAAAGAAAAGAGAACGGTAGCCCTCATGAATCTGTATTCCTCAACGCATAGAGAGCCCGTTGGTGGCTGGCGTAGCCGTGAACGTGAGGACACGTCTCGCAGCCCCATGGGAACAATTGAGACATGCTTTAGAGGTCGTCAAGTGCATATTGGATCCCCCTTCGTAGACAAGCGCTAGGATTTGGTTTGACCTGGGAGTTGTTGAAGATGATCGGGCTCTCTGGACCCAGTCCTGTTCTCGCTTGACTGGAATAGCGGCACGCGCACCTGACTTCAACTCCGGAAAAGATGCGCGTCATAACTTGGGCCGGCAAGGATTCTTAAGAGGAGCACACGCTGAATCTATGCGGATGCGCGACAGGACTCTTCTCATCAACCATGCTTCAGCAGGGTATCGGCCGACCAGTTTCGTCGATTCGAGACTCATCACCGCGTCCCCGCGTATTTGAGTTCTTCTTTCTAAAGTGAACAATGGCGTTGGAATACACAGTGCCATTAGCGGATGTGTGTGGTTGGGTGCGGCGTTTGTTCGTGCCATGGAAGCTAGATGGATGACGGTCAGAAATGCCGGAGAAAGAAGGCGGCTTTGCAGAGGGCGGATTCTCGCATCACGTGATGCTTAAATCCATCGCTGCGCTGATATCCTGTTCGTTAGGGAGGATGTTAATATTAATACAGAAAAACCCTCAAATAGAAGGACATTGAAGAGTAAATGTAAGTTGAAAAGGGTTCGAGCCCTACAATAGCAGTGCCGACTTTAATTCGGAAGACATTAATTTGTAGCAATACCAACGTCCTAGCCTGACTACGCGGGGCCCGGAGCCTCCCTTATACACTTCCCCTTGCAATAAGTCTTCCCATCCTGGTTCGTAGTATCCTCCCATTGCTGCACGCCCCGCAGGCATTGCCTCATCACCTTGCAATCATCTTCGGGCCCAGTCCTCGACGTGCAATAACCATAGCAGACCCCGCCGCAGACGCCACAAGAACGCGGCTCTGGAGCCTCGTGGCTCGGTCAGGTCCAGGGCAGCAAAAGAGCAAAAGAGCAAAAGACGGGGGAAACAACGTGCAAGCGATCCGCTAGAACGTATCGAGGTTGACAGCATCCAGATCTGGAGGCGGAATCCCCGATGTTCCACTAGCGCGGATTGAAAGGGGGTCCTTGGCCCCTTCCTCTCTACCTCCTAGCAGGCTTACTCAGCACCTTGTGTAACTAACTAGTTAGTTATCTTTCCTCCTTCCGCTTAATAGCTAGCTTCCTCACCTTTATCAATATAACAGCTTTTGGCTACATGCCTTCTCTTGATCCGCTTCCCCTCTGATTGTCGCTCAGCGGACGCGGGACGGGCCTAGTCTAGCGCTAGCTCTATGGATGTGGCTTGATGCCAAGTTGCCGCTCACCTGTATGAGGGGGTCTTTGAATCTGATGCACAGTCATCAATTACATACCTCGGAATGCCAGTTATCGCAGGGAAAGTGTCGAAGTATCGAAGTACATACCTGTGCAGGCATCGAAGGCGCAAAGGGAGCTAGTGCGGACGGTGCCTCAATCTGTGCTTTCTTGTTTGCAGCCGTGAGAGCACTGCGTTGGTCTTCCTAGATATCGTCATGCATGTGCATGCAATCAATCAAAAAGGCAGATGGGTGGCCTGATCCAGGTGAAGCTCCAGAGCATACAAGTACAACAGACAGAAAAAGCACTAGCCATATTCAAGACCAGCTTGCATATTCATCTATCAGTCCGAGGCGCTTAGGTTCAGCCAGCAGTCTGGAAGCTTTCTCTTGCTACAATTTCCACGACAGTCTCACTTCTGGAGACTGTGATCAAGTCACATCGAGCTGAGCTACATTCATATCATCTACTCAAAGACCCCTTTCTCGTTGAGCATGGCAGAATCCCTGGCCCTCGTCGGCTTTGCGTCCGCGATAGTCCAGTTCGTCGACTTCAGCACCAAGGTCATTGCACGCCTCGACGACTATCATACAGCCATAGGAAAGGTTCCAAAAGCTTTTCTGGGCATTAAAACTGAGTTGCCGCTCGTGCTGAAGACCGTTGGACGCACACGAGAGCAAAGCCAGAGCGGCCTTGTCAGCAGCGAGACCCAGCAGGCGCTTATCCCCGTTGTCGATGGCTGCTGTGAACAGGTCAAGCTGCTTGACGCCATACTTGTCGAATTACTTCCGAAGCCTTGGGACAGCTCCTGGAAAGTGAGGATGAAGGCACTCTCCAGCGTCCGAAAAGAAAAAGAGACCAGAAACATTACCGCGACGTTGGATAGCTACGTCCAGAAGCTTACCTATTACGAAGTAGTAAATCAAGGGCATGCATCCAATGCAACGAGCCCGCGTCCCTCTGTGCCGGACAGCAAGACCAATGCGCCGAAACCAACATACTACATCCTGCCTCAGCTTGCGGTGTCCCAATCCATTCAACGAGACGACTTGATGAAACGAATGCAGGATGCTTTAGTACAGCCACAAGGGCCATCACCACCAGTGATTGTGCTCCTCGGGATAGGCGGCCAGGGCAAGTCGCAGCTTGCGATGGAGTATTGCAAGAAAGCTCGCTAGCACGCAGCATGGAGAAGATAGCATCTAACCTTTCTGAAGGCCGGTCCTTCTATGGCCTCGACTCACAGATTACGTTCTTCAGAGATACAATCGAGACTTGGACCTCTCCCTGGCTTTTGGTCTTTGACAATTACGACCTACCAGATGAGATGCGGCCCATATCTAGTTGCTTCCTACAACTAAAATATGGTAGCATTATTGTCACAAGCCGTCACGCAAATTCCGAGCGTCTTGGAAGCGTCATTAGGCTGACAGGAATGTCGGAGGACCAAAGTGTAGATCTTCTCTTTCATCGGTCTAAGCTCGAACGGACTGAGGACAACATTCAATAGAGCAGAACGGTTGTAAATCAATTAGGTCACCTTCCTCTCGCTATCAACCAGGCGGGATCTTACATCAATGCCAGATACCTCTCATTGATGCTCTTCATCGCTGAGTACGAGAGAAATAGGGCAAAGATTCTCAAGTACACCCCTGGGTTGACCGAGTACCGAAAGCGACTAAATGACACCAATAGAGAAACGGCTCTCAATGCTTTTACCACCATGGAATTATCCCTTCGCGGTATTCAAGGCACTTCTCAAGAATGCTCTGCAAGGAGCAGATTCTTACCATTTCCGCCTTTCTTGATGACCGCAATATCTTGTCCGCAGTACCTAGGCCGTATGTTGACTCCAATTTTCCTAACCTCGACGTACCCGACCATTGTTTTTTCGCTGGCTCTCCAAAATCAGATCTTGATGACATCCTCGTTGAGCTGAGGGCCCTCTCTTTACTAGAATCTCTGCAATTTTGCGACGACGGCACTGCATCGTATCAATTCATCCACTCATCATAGACTGGGCGAAATTACGTTTGGAATCCGAGAGCCGTCGCCAGTATACTCGACTGACGCTAGCTATGCTCTCGCAATTTCTGCCTCAATCGAAGCCGTTCGAAGGCCCATCGAAGTGGAAACTACAATTGCTTTCACAGCTCGGAGTCTGTTTGCAAAACTGCCAGGATTATTTACAGGCCGATGAGCTACCTGGCCTTGGAGCTTTGCATGGGCCCGGCAACAAGATTGCACACTTCTATCATAAGGAAGGTTACAAAAGTCCTGCATCACAGATCTACTCTAGATGTCTATCCTGGAGAGAGAAGGACTATCCCGGCACTGATGAGGCCACTCTGAGCTTGATCATCCATCTATCGACCGCGTATCACAGGTCTGTGCCGAAGGAGTTCGATGCTACAGTAAAACTTGCAGATCGAGCTCTCGCTGCTTCCAAGTTACTACCACCTGAACATATGCTTCGAGGGCTTACTCTCGTCCGCGTCGCCAGGGTTAGGCGAGAACAAGGGTCGCTTACAATAGCTATCGAAAACTTAGAGGAAGGCATGGCGATATTGAAAAAGAGCCTTGGGGTGGAGCATCACGCTATGCTCAGTAATTTTTACCGATTAGATTCCAAATTTTTTCACTACGAGCTAATTGATCATTTCCACACGATTCTCGGTCTGCTTCCATCGGCAGGCATAGAGTGGTGCTGCGGTTAATTACGGATGAGCAAACCGCCTAGCATTCAAGACAGAAACTATGGTCGCACACTCACTACTCATGCAAGACAAGTGTGCCAAAGCGGAACCGTTGCTAATTCAACTCGCTGCCCGCAGAACTGAGAGACTTAGCATCTCTAGCCGAGAGTCGCCTGTATCAGTAGGCGATATTGCTTCCTCTCAAACTTGCAAGGGAAATTTAAACTAGCCGAGGAGACCGCCTTTCACGCATTGCGAAGATTGGACGGAACAATCCCAGCTTCTGAGTGTAAGGATCAGACACAATCGCTTTTATGCTAAGCACATCAACATCAAGGACGCCACGAGTAGACAGAGACTTTGATAGAAGTGAGGATGCAAGCGGCGCCGCGCGAGGAGATGGTGATCGGAAATGCCATGCATGGTCGATGTGGCTGTCACGGTTCCTCTACACCGCAACCTCCACGAATCTCCGGGACGAGAAGTTGCGAAACTTAGGGTGCACCCTAGAATTTTCAAAACCTGAGGGACGATGTCAAGTTTCAAGTGGTCTAAATTAGACTGCCTCTTGAATCACTGGCTGCTTACTACCTGAGCTGCTCTTCACAGTGGTGCCGAGCGAGCAAAATTGAAGCCAAGCAGTGATAGATCCGTGTGCGCAGACTTGTGACCTACTTCTGTATCAACACCCGACACTGTGAATTGCGAAGCGAGCAATGACTACCACGGCCCGATGTGTCCCAAGGGTGTGCAGAATACGCAAACGGCACTTGCCTAACTTCAGCATGGGACGCTTTCAAGAAAGGGACATCTCAGACAAGCTCGCACACCTGTGGAGATCCTGGAATAAGGCCCGATTCGACACCTCGAGTTGCTTTTGGACACTTGGAAAACCAAATTCCAGATACGCTCCAATGCCACATCAGGGGGCCCTTGCTACGACGGTAACCCGAAGTAGGAGGTTAGCTGACCCAGACTTACTTTCGGCCAGTACCGGTGGCCCGAGTATAAAGGCCTCCCCGGCCGGCTGTCTGCGGGAGCAAATTCGGTCTCCGCTCTGGCAAGAGTGGACCAACCTACGGAGTAGTGCTGCGAGGATTGCTACATGTGGGGGTTGAAAAACTAACAGCAGCGTCGACAAATGGCTCGTCGCCAGTGCGGCTGGTTGGACGGTGTGGTGTCAACTTGAACCTGTTCATCAAATGTGCAGTCGAGGTGGGAAGCAATTGTAAGGCATTAAATGGCGATAAGCAGTATTCCCCGCTGACGACGATGACGGGTAGCCTGCCTGAGAACTGATATTCACAAGTTTCGAATCACGAAGCGTGAGAATCGTAGTTGGAGGTTGTCGGTGATCATCTTGTTCCTCTCGAGCGACTGCCGAGAGGGAGGCCCCCATATCGTCTTTTTCTCACCGACGACCTATTAACTGTGGGGTCATTCTAGGCGCTACTAACATTGAAGCCTTCTCTCCCGAGTTGACAAAGGCTATTGCGAAGGGAAGACGCTGCTTTGACTCTCCTCAAGAGCCCAATGTATGAATGGAGCTGTGTCACCACGAAACAGCTTAAGTACGTAGGATGAGGAGGTGCTTCCATGGAACAGTCAGGTAGCACGTGACCTTGACTTCGCAAGCGTCTATTGGCGGGAGAACTGTGGTGTCGTCAGCTCGATTCCCAGCCCTTCACGCTCTTAGCTAGATCTTCTCATCGTGAATTGGAGACAGCAATTTTTCCAGAAGTCGACAATGCAGTATGTCGCTCTGCTCCGCTCTACGAGTAACTATTGGCGTGAGGCTGCTGTAGAACATCCGCCACATCTGTATCTCCATAGGACGGCATTAGCCACACCTCGGAGTTGCATTCATGTCGCTGCGATACCCACTTGTATCTTCTCGTATTCAAGTTTTATCGAGAAGTGTAGAATGCTTGGACTTCCGTAGTACAAAAGGAGGATGATCGATGGACTGTGACCGAGACGTGAGATCATGAGCCGAGCACTGTTTGAGTGCTGGGATTAAGTGAGATATATCTGTGACTTGGTGCCACCATAGCGTGCAACTCACGCTCCCCGCTTTCTAGATATCATGACATCTTCAATTGACCTCTGAGAGAGTTGAATTGGAGACCTGGTAATGTAAGCAATGACGCTGCGGAACATCTTCTACGAAAAAAAATCTGAAGAATGCGATGCACCGAACTATCATTGAAATTGATATCTCTTTCTGCGTCAAACGTGAACACCTTGCAAAAACTGTGTTCATCTTCTAGAAAGATACTCGTTTGATCAGAGAGATGGGAGTGATCGTCAACCCTCTCCAGTTCCACGAAACACCCACTGCTGTCAAGTGAGCAGATAGCCGTCGTCTTGTGGCCGCCTCAAGCTCACACAGACACCAATCCTGCAGACATCCGGATTGCGCACGACCATTTCTACAACCCAAGTACTCCACTGCAACTTCGGGGAAGAGGCGACACAACGTAGCGATGCTCGGTTGATAGCTTACCTCCGAGCTTTTATATCTCTTCCCATCTGCTCTCGCTTTCATCTTCCGCCACATCAAGCTTCACAACTTGCTTGAAGCATCGGAAGCAACGCCATTTGCACGACAAATAACCATGCAACTTCTCTCCCTCCTCTCCCTCTTCCTCGGCCTCTGCGCCACCGCCCACGCGTGGCCCACCCCCGACGAGGGCGCCGTCGCCGTCACCACCCGCGACGCTCCCGACAGCACGATCCACTATATCAACGTTTACAACGCGACCCCGAAGCCCATCTACCTGTGGTCCATCTCCAGCGTCGCGGGCTCCATGCAAACCATCTACCCCTACACGCTCTACTACGAGGCCCAATACTACGACCCAAAGACCGGGATTGCGATTAAGATCACGAAGACACCGGATGCGCTGTACAACGGCGCCGGCACGTTTATCTTCGGCTACACGCTGAATGCGGCGGAGGGGAACATCTACTATAGCTTTGGGTCGGTCAACCAGGAGCCGTTTGGGTATGAGGAAGTCAGTGGGAACAATTGTCCGGGGATCAAGACGCCAGAGATGAATGTGACGAAGGCGTGTAAGATTACGGATTTGTTCCTGAGGATTGGGAGTTCGTAGATGAGAGGAGTGGGGCTTGAGGTTGGGTGTCATGGGAGGTAATGGGAAGGATATGAGACGAAAATTGAGTGTTGAGAGCGCGAGGTTTTCTTGGATGAATTGTGTAATGTCTTAATGGTGGATGATTGGACTGGTATTGAATCTAAATTGGAAGACTTCTTGCTATGATTTTGCACGCTTTGAGTAATGCAGCCCTGGAGCGTAACCCCCAGACAATGTTCAGATTACCGTTGAGATACAGAACGAGTGGAATACTGAAGCATCCGCAGCATTATTACCATGGCCGATGCTTGAAAAGTGGATGTCAAAGTGAGGGGAAGTGTGACGTTGGGGTGCTGTCTGCAAAAGCTTGCACAAGAGTTAGTATGCGGTACGACTATTGTCAAGCATAGCTTTTATCAGCTGCTATACTGTGAATATAGGAGTAGTGTTGAAGTGTTGAAGGGATGTCGAGGTGACGGAGCTCCCGCTTGGACCACCATCCCCGCCTCTTGCTGCAAGGCACGGAGCTGAGCTCCCATCACTGCATCATCCATCACCACATCAACCGCAACAACCAATACACCATGGGAGGAGAAACACATCTCAAGATGGGCCCCTCGCCCACATACCCGAAGCTTGCAGCTGGTCCTGTAGGCAAGAAGATCCACAACATCTACGCTGACCGGCTGCGTATGTTCATGAGCGACGGCCAGTACAGAGAGCAGAACCTCCCGCCGTGAGTATGGCTTTGAGCGACTTCCAACAACACAAATACATCAATCCTTCGCCTAACATCTATACAGGAAGATCATTGACGCTAGTGCCTCTGGCGCTGAATGGATCAAGCTCTCCGTATACTCCCCGCCCGACCTCTCGCGCCCGACCTTCAAAGAAGCCACCTCGCATGATTTCACACCCACGAGCGTCGGCAAAGCATTCGGCCCCAGTTGGTCGACGCATTGGTTCCGCATCCAATTGACCGTGCCGAAGGAGCTCAAGGACAAGGAGCATCTCGAGTTCCGGTGGGATGCGAACAACGAGGGCTTGATTTGGACCGAGTCTGGCGACGTTATCCACGGCCTAACTGGCGGTGGGGAGAGAGTGGAATGGGTGCTCCCGGAGTCATACAGAGATGGGAAGGAGCATGTCTTTTACATCGAGATGGCGTGCAACAAGATGTTTGGGAATGCGCCCGGCGGAGACTCGATTCAGCCTCCAAGTTCGGATACCTACTTCCAGCTGCATACGGCTGATATTGTGGCTATCAATCTTGAAGCTCGAGGACTTTACTTTGATTTCTGGGAGATCGGAGGTAAGCTTCTAGGAGCTCTAAACCGACTTCAATGCTAATTGCGAACAGATGCGTCTCGAGAGTTCCCAGGCGACTCATGGGAGTCCCACAAAGCTGGTGTGATTGGCAACTCCATTATGGACACTTTCATTGCTGGCAATGGAAGCAATGAAGCCATCAAGGAGTGCCGGAAGATCGCCCGGAAGTACTTGGGTGACAAAGTCGACTCTGAAAAGGTCTACGGCGGCGACCAAGAAGCTATCGTCAGCGGCATTGGACACTGCCACATCGATACCTGCTGGCTGTGGCCATGGGCGGAAACGAAGCGCAAAGTCGCACGCTCGTGGTCGAACCAATGCGACCTCATTGATCGGTACCCCGAGCTACGGTTCTGCGCTTCGCAGGCACAGCAGTACAAATGGCTGGAGACGCTGTACCCGGGAGTCTTTGACCGCGTGAAGCAAAAGGTCAAAGAAGGCACATTCCAACCTATTGGAGGCAGCTGGGTGGAGCACGACACGAACATGCCTAGCGGAGAATCGCTCGTCCGTCAATTCGTGGCTGGACAACGCTTCTTCGAGAGTCGTTTTGGCCAGCGATGCAAAACCTTCTGGCTTCCGGACACATTTGGGTACTCCACTCAGCTACCACAAATCTGCCAGCTGGCTGGTATGAGCAGGTTCTTCACACAGAAGCTGAGCTGGAACAACATCAACAACTTCCCCCACACGACCTTCAACTGGGTTGCTCTCGACGGTAGTCAGGTCATCTGCCATATGGCTCCATCCGAGACCTACACCGCAGAGGCTAACTTTGGGGATGTCAAGCGTAGTGTCACGCAGCACAAATCGCTAGACCAAGATCACACGTCGCTTCTTGTCTTTGGCAAGGGTGACGGTGGAGGAGGACCAACCTACCAGCACATTGAAAAGTTGCGACGATGCAGAGGCATCAGCGACAAGGTAGGCCTTTTGCCTCGCCTCAAGCTTGGCGGCTCTGTAGACGACTTCTTCGATAAGTTAGAAAAGAAGATTGAAGATGGTACTGATTTGGTCACCTGGTACGGAGAGCTCTATTTCGAGCTTCATCGTGGGACATACACCACACAGGCAAACAACAAGCGAAACAACCGATATTCGGAGATTTTGCTTCATGACCTTGAGTACCTAGGTACCCTTGCAAGCATCAAGGATTCAGAGTATAAATACCCGAAATCAGAGATCGATGAGATGTGGGAAAATGTCTTGCTCTGCCAATTCCACGATTGTCTACCGGGCAGTTCTATCGAAATGTGCTATGACGACTCAGATGAGGTACGTATTGTATCGTCTTGCATCTACGACGTACTAACGCCACGTTAGCTATACGCAAAGGTCTTCGCTACAGGTGAAAAACTCCTGAAGGGTGCCATGAAAGCGCTCGGCTTTGGCCATCCCAAAGAAACAACGACAGGAAAACTGATTGGACTAAACACCCTCCCCTGGTCTCGTACAGAGCTGGTCAAACCTGCGAACGTGCTCGAACCTTACCATCTCGTCAACGGCGACGGCATACTAGACGTCCGCCCCATGCTCTCCGCCTACCCCGCTACCTCCGCCTCCATCAAAGAAACTAGCCAGGGCGTTTATGAACTCTCTAACAGTCAATTCAAAGTCGAAGTCTCCGACGGCGTCATCACTTCCCTCTACGACCTCGCTGCCAAGCGCGAAGTCATCCCCAAAGGCAAAAAGGGCAACCAGCTGGTCATCTTCGACGACAAGCCGCTCTACTGGCAAGCATGGGACGTCGAAGTCTACCACCTCGACTCGCGGAAGGAACTACACGCCGCCAAAACCTCCATCACCGAGTCCGGCCCGCACCGCGCCTCCGTCGAGGTTGAAACGAAGATCAGCGAGCACAGCTGGATCAAAACCACCATCTCGCTCGCCGCAGCCATCGGCGACAACCCTAGCTACGTCGAAATGAGCAGCGAAGTCGAGTGGCGCGAGACAATGAAGTTCCTGAAAGTCGAGTTCCCAGTGGACATCGTGAACCAAGAAGCCTCTTACGAGACTCAATTCGGCATCGTGCGCCGCCCAACCCATTACAACACGACGTGGGACATGGCCAAGTTCGAGGTGTGCTGCCACAAGTGGGCGGATCTGAGCGAGGCCGGGTACGGCGTGAGTATCCTGAACGAGTCGAAGTACGGGTTTGCGACGTGTGGGGATTTGATGCGGTTGAGTTTGCTGCGAGCGCCGAAAGCTCCAGATGCGCATGCTGATATGGGTACGTTTACACTCCCCCTTTCCATTCCCCCCCTCCCTCTTACACAATGCTAATGATTTGATAATTAGGCCGCCACCACATCCGCTACGCTATCCTCCCGCACACCGGCCCCCTCTCCACCCTGACCATCCGCACCGCCCGTGCCTTCAACTCCCCGCTGCACCTCGGCACGCACGCCTCCCCCGCTAGCATCGCGCCGCTGCTCTCCTCCCTCCGTATCTCGGGCGCCGACAACCTCGTCCTCGATACCGTGAAGCGCGGAGAGGATGACAAAGATATGCCGTCTATCGGCCTACCGCTGCGGAAAGATCGCAGCGTTATTGTACGCATGTACGATGCGATGGGTGGGAAGAGCAGGGGCGTCCTGAGTTGGGGCGTGTTGGACGTGAAGAGGGTGGAGAAGTGTAATGTGCTTGAGGATGACGGCGAGGAGATCAGCATTGTGGAGACCGAGGTGCTGGTCGACGGGGAGAGGACGAGTAAGGGGGTTGAGATTGAGGTGAGAGCCTTTGAGGTGGCGACGTATCGGTTGGTTTTGGCGGATTAGGTTGTGCTGGGGGAGGGTGTAGATATGAGGTAAGTCTCCTACGCATGTGTAGTATGATAGTGAAAACGAAAACGCATGGTTCTTTTTGTATTCAGTCTGGTAAACGTGGTGATTGCAAACGCGAGTTTTGGCACAGTTAACCTTGATTAACGCATGAGATAAGGAAGCTAAACTCCGACCAATGTGCCATGCTACTCTATCACAACTACTTTGCAGCCTGGCCCAACCCGCCTATAATCGACCCCATACTATATCTACTTGAAACGCATATACAAGCCTCTCCGCCAACTTTTAACGAATACGGTCCAGCCTCGCACGGTTCTGCGACATGTTAGCCCCAACATCCGCACAACGATTAAGCGGAAGAGGAGTAAACTCACCATAGCAATCTGATCATCCACCTTATCCGTCTTCCCAATAATCCTCTCAATATGCCTATTCTGTGTATCCACCTCCTCACCCATGGCCCTCCCCAGGCCATTCAACCGCTTCGCGGCGCCATGCAACGCATCCAAATTCCCATCAATCTCATTCTCCATCTCGTCGTCCTCGCTATCCGCCTCAAACTGGTACTTTGCGCGATCGGCCAGCGTGCTGCCGCCCGGCGGCTTGCGGATCAGGTTGCCGTTGAGGTCGCGCCCCACGGCCTGCGCGCGGCTCTGCGACTCCCAGGCCGCCTTGCGCGTGGCGTCGCGCTGCTCGCGCTCGGTGCGGTGCGTTTCCATGAGCTGGGCGTCGCGGGCTTCGCGGCGCGAGGCCGATGTGAAGGGGTTGCCGACGTGGACGGCGAACATGGATTTGTTGAGGGTTTTGAGCTCGCGGGCTTTTTCCTCGGCGATGCGGTTTTGCGAGGAGGCGAGGTCGAGGTTGCGCTCGGTGTTGTGGATGCGCTCGCCTGGACACCGGTACTATTAGCATATTTGATTGACTCATTAGAAGCGGGGAAGGGGAATTGGGAATGTAGAGAGCGTACCCTGAGCGCCCAACCTAGCCAACGTATCTCGGCCTGTCTCTTCGGCCTGCTGAGCTAGCCGCAGCGCGTTCCGCGTCGAGCTCACGTCCTGCTGCTTGATGAACTTGATCTCCTGCTTTGACGCGTTTACGTCTTCCTCCTCCTGCTCCTCCTGTGTAAGCTCGCGGTCGCCGTAAGCGCCATACCCGCCCGACTGGCCGGCATCGTAGCCTCCAGCTCCGGGAGCACCGCCAGATGCACCTGGAGCGCCTCCATACCCGCCGTATTGTCCTGGGGGCGCACTCTGCTGCTGCTGAGCCCGCTGCGGCGCCGCGCCGAACAACTGGTCCCGCCCTGCATCTGTGGTCATGGTATCGTTGCTGTCCGCCCTCCCTAGCCCGCCATAGCCACCAGGCCGTCTCGCAGCCTGGGGCTCAGGCGCGCCTCCGCCGTACGGGCTGCGTCCGTAGCCCGCCTGCCCTTGACCGGGCTGGCCGCCGTACCCACCGCTGCCGCCGTAGGCACCGCCCTGGCTTGTGACAGCGGGCGATTTGTTGTCGCGGCGGAAGGAGTCCTGGGAGCCAGTGTAGGGGGGAGGAGCTGCGGCGTACGGGTCTGAGGGGGGTGGAGGGGCGGCATAGGGGTTTGAAGCAGCGGGCGATTTGGAGTCTTTCTTGGAGCGGGAGCCGAAGAGGGCGGAGCGGGCAGAGGAGTCGTCGTCGTCGCCCTTCTTGCCGAAGCCGAATTTCTTCATTGTGTGTGGTTGTGTTGTGAGGAGGTTGTGAGGATGGCGAGTGGTGGGCGGAGCTAGCTGACTCGAGGGCTGAGTCTAGAGTGTGTATTTGAGGTTTTCGAAGAAGTTGGAGGTGGTAATTGAAGTAGAGCAGTTGAGGAGAGTGCTGTCGAGGGGTTTCGTGGTGTAGCAGGGGCTGAAAGAGGGTGTGTCAGGGAGAGGGGCCTGGGGGCGTGTCTCAGGACAGCTGAAGCTGCGGTTGGGAGCGTCGTGGAAGTGTGGCGGAGCACGTGTTTACTCGGTTTGCACCGCGGTTTAGCCACCCATTCAGCCACCTTCACTACAATTAGGTGTCATAGATGCGAGTTTTGATTCTATCTTTGACAGAGCTGCCATAATCTATTCTCTTCTACAGACAAACATTGCCCGGCACTCTCCAACCTCCAACAACCCAAACATGCAATGACGCCCAAGACGGCTAGCGACATGCACAAAACGCTGACGGACCTCGATCCAAAGATAGACTTACCAGAAATCCCTGGACTAACGCAGCAGTACTATCAGCCGTGCCAGAACCGAGGCGGGAAGCCGTCGCAAGCAAACATACTCTACGAACAGGGTATCAAATCTCAAAGTGAATCCAGACCATTGTAAGTACCGAGTCGCGCTAGATATCTATTCTAAAACAAGGTATGCGGCTTCCCAGCACGTTTCACGAAATGTGAATATATTCTGGCCCCACACAATACGCAGCGCTATGGAGATGTACAGTACAGCTCCAACGCACTCGACAGAGTCAGGCGCGGTAACGATCGGGAGTACGGCGTTCAAGAATGAACTGCACAAACAGTCAGAGTGACGCGGTTCGCCATGACTATGAGAGCAACCGCCGCTCTGGATAAATGGTTTCTGTGGCTATCTGGCCAGGAAATATTTCATTGCAGCCATGTCTGAGATGAAGCTGATCCCGTGGTAATGGTGTACGAGAATTTTAGCAGAGAAAGCGGTCGTGAAGGCGTTCAGCCCTAAAGACTCGAGCGTTGAGAAGCTTAGACACTTTTGAGTTGCCTCAAGCAGCTATTATAAAAGCTTGTCCGGAAGCGGTCTTTGAAGCTCTAGACTCCATTACGACCATGTCTGGGAGATAGCAGACCTCGTGATAATGACATACGATCACCTTCGCGGACAGAGTGGTCGTGAAGCCGTTGGACCGAAGGACTGGAGCCGAGTTATGGCAGAGAACCCATGCAAGGACAAAGTGCTTATCTGGTGCTCTTCGTAGTCAGCTAAAGTGCAGCGTCGGGGCGGGTTCGTCGTTCGAACGTGTCTGGCAAAGGGCTCAGATAGTGGAGGATATTTGGGCGAATACACCTAAAGCGTACCGCTAGAAGCTTGGAGGTTATGCAGTGCCTTCTTCGTCCACGCTATTCGCTTCTCCTCTGGTCCTAGCTCCCCATCTGAGGGCAGCGCGTCATGTTCTTCTCTTGTCCAGACTTCATTTCCCTCAATGACCGGAAATGGAGTCAGGATTCGGCTGATGTCTCCCCACCACTGTTCGCCGAAACGTCGATACCAGTCTACAGTCATTTTCAATCCGTCATCAAAGTCCGTCTTAGGATACCATCCCAACAGCGCCAGCTTTGCACCGTCGGTGGCATACCGGTGGTCGTTGAACGGCCGGTCTTCGGTGTGCTCGACCCATTTTCCGAACTCTTCAGGCGTGCTGTGTGGCAAACCGAAGATGTCTAGTAGCTTGTGACATATTTCGGTGTTCGAAACTTCATCTTTGGACGCAATGTTGTAAATCTGACCAATTACACCCTTATGAAAAATCGTGTCCAAGGCGTCTACAATGTCCCCAGCGTACAGGTATCGTCGCGTTGGTGAGCCGTCGCCATGAACAAGTAGCTTGCTCCCCCGATGAAGCAACATTATGAACTTGGGTATGATTTCTGGGATTGTTAGAGTGAGTAGTGCGAGGACTAGCATGTAGTACTCACTCTCTGGAAACTGATGTGGCCCATACACGTTATTCGCTCGCACTGTAATGACTGGCAACTTGAAGCTCTTCCGATATGCATTGACCATCATCTCCGCCGCCGCCTTGCTCGCTGAATACGGATTCGTAGGCGCAAGCAAGCTCGTCTCGCTCAAATCGTCCGCGTCGTCCGCCACGTCCCCATAAACCTCATCAGTCGAAATGTGAATGAACCTCTTCACTCCATGCGCCCTCGCCCTCTCCAGCAGCACGTGCGTCCCATAAACATTTGTGTTGGTAAACTGGTACGAGTTCCCGAAACTGAGATCGACGTGTGATTGGGCAGCGAAGTGAAAAATAGTGTCGATCTTGTGTTTCCGTAGGCACTTCTTCACATCTGCGTCTGAGGTGATGTCGCCCTGCTCGAAAGCAAAATTTGGGTGATTGTCCAGAACGCGGGTGTTGTTGAGGGTTGCGCAGTAGTCTAGCTTGTCGAACGATACGACGTTGTACTCGGGGTACGTCAGGGTCAGGTGGCGGACGAACCAGCATGCTCTAGGTGGACAGGAAGATCAGCCTGTGCTCTTGTGTGGTGCGGGCAGCGTTTCACTGCGCAATGGACTCTGAGGCAGAGGGGGCGTACATGAAGCCTGCGCCACCAGTGACCATGATATTCTTAATGTTCGGCAAAGGCTCGAACTTGGTGGTGCCTGTCAACAAGGGTGCTTGCGTCCATACTTCAGGCGCAACGTAGGATTTGGGATTGAGAAGGGTCGAGTCTCTCCGGCCTGCGCTTGAGCTTAGCATATGCCGTGAGAAGGATGTAGTCGCAAAGTTACGTTTCATACCCCCACCATAGTGCTCGACAGGACTAATGGATCGCGTAGACCGGTCCGGCATGGTTGAGGATGGTGCGGGTGAGGAACCCCAGCAAAGTCGAGGATTCTCGAGCGAGGCATTTCGCGATCTCTGCGGAGCGTGCTTTCGTATATGCTGACTCAATGGTGAATGTCGCCAGGACAAGCGCAGAAACTCGGCTGGCCGTCGCATATCCCTGCTGAAATGTGAATATCCGCCTAGCCGTTACCAGCAACGTATCCGCCCACCCCGTTCACCTCTCACCTTGCCTCTCACCTCGACTTCATTGTCTTACGCTCCGAAGCGTCTTGCCATCACATGACTTCTCAAATAGGGTGTATCGCTACTCATCTCAAAATCTAACTTAAATGCACGAGGACGTCGTGGAAAGGCCCGCTCCGTTCAATTTCAAAATTCCGCATCCCACTTAGTCCGTGCCATTTCTCATGTGTATTCGATTCCCAAGTCCAAAGCTACCTACTATGGAGCAAATCACTCATACGCTGTACATGCTCTTTACCTCAATGCTCACTTCCTATATTTCCGAATATATGCCAACTCAATAGTAACCAACACAACCACGGTACCAACTTCAAGCTATCACAGCTATCACAGTTGGCTCCAATTGACATCCTCTCACTACCCTAAAGGAAACACGGCGTCCATAGGACCGTGACTCTGGAGGCGGAGGAAAAGATTTGATCTAACGGCCGCTGAAAAACACCAGCTGACATCTCCAGCAAAGAGAACTTGGACTTTTCGTGCCATTGTTCAAAAACATTCACTGCTTACATTCCTATACTATACTAAATATTGTGCATTTTACGTTTTGTACTTTCCCCGCAATTTTCAGATTGTGCCATTCCCTCCTAAATGTGCAGAATTCGCATTGTGACCGTACAACATCACTTGCAAAACATACATATTCAACAGCCCATCTCGGAGAGCTGATCTCCAAAACAACCATTTTCTACACCCAGATGGCTCAAATCAAACACCAAGACCCACTCTCGAAATGCCAGATCAAACAAACTCTGCTAATATTCCTGAGCCAAAGGCCACAATGAAGTACGAGGACGTACTCAAAGCCGGCGAGGGGATCTATGGGTGTACGCACTTTTCATTGCCCCAAAACTACTTCAAAGAAATAACTAACGGGGCAGTGTTTGTAAGCCTCTCTGAAGTCAAGGCACAGCTATGCGTCGTCAAGCGGTTGTTGAAGCAGGATGCGGATAGCAAGTGGGAAATCGAGCGCGAGGTGACGGCTTTGGACTCAAGCGAGCTTCACGACGCTACCAATACACCTTCGTACGCAATGGGCGCCATATTCGGTCCAGACTTACAAGATTTCGCATGGGTTGGATGTCTAGAAAAGTGTGGCTACATGTATTCCTTCAATTGTTCGAGGCCATAGCATTCTTGAACTACCACCACATCTTGCATGGCGACATACACTTGGGCAACGTTATGCTCAATCCGTCTCGGCAAGACTTTCCTGGACTCCCGGACATAGGCCTCATCGATTTTGGAATGTGCGCTATTGCTGGCAAGTACTATTCGGAGACACAAATCCTGAATGTTGTCCTTCAAGATGCTTCGCGTACCTACCTCGCGATTCTTGAACTCATCGAGGCAGGCAATTACGAGCCTGAATCGTCCGTCAGCACGGACCGGAGTGGAATGAGTTTTGCATTGCCATTGAAAGTATGGCGAACGAGCTCGCTCCTCCAGATGACCCTCCAGATGACGGTGCACTCTCTCCGTACCCGGCACTGAGATCTTCCGTGCTTCTCCAATCGCCAGAGCTACCAATGATCCCTTCCGCGAGTCCCGCATCCGTCTCTCCATCGGCTTCTCAGACGAGCATCTCCTTCAGTGAGACCGTGGCAAGCTTCGGCGCCTGGCCATGCTGCTCTACGAACTGGCAGCTTGAAGACTTCCTCAGCATGTTCGGCGAATTCGCAACCCAACGGCGAAGAGAAATGCCCCCCGCGACATGTTTGAGGACATTAAGAGCGTTATGAATGACTTCACGAAGGAATTTGACGACAAGCTCTAAGCTGCTGTTGAAAAACTCTCCTTCAACGAGAATGATGACGCAGCGTAGGTTTCTTCTTCTTTATTTCGATTGACTTCTTAGGAGCATACGAACACACTAACGAGTGCAGCATCTGTTCTAGTGTAGCCAATGTACAAAACGTTCACCGATATCAAAATACCTTCATACCTTCTTCGTCATTGAGCCGGATCATAGTTGCTACTCGTCCAATGTCCTTGCCAATCTGAAATGCTCAATGTCTATGTAAGTTCAAGACCGTATCAAACTCGTTTTGTATCTGACTATTGCACGAGAGACCTCCGTTTCCACCGTCTTGGCATCGGTTCTAGCATAGTACACTCCAAAAGGAACAAAAGCTCAATCAATGTCCGACGACAGACTCCAACCTGTGGAGTAAGCATTATTTCTCTCCTGTATCCCCGTGGACACTTCCCGAGTTCTTCTCACCATTGTACATAAGTATTTGCCAATTAAAATATTTCCACACTTTCATGATTGTTTAGATCCTTCATTGTAGAGATACTATTAATCATTATCTCACGATGTATAAATGATACGCTCGAGCTCCGGGACAAGGTCAGAAACGCCCCCGTCGAACTTTCATTTCTACATTCATATCAAACACTCGGATCAAACACAGATATACTATCTGAAGATTCAAGACCAGCACAACCCTTCTTCAAACACGCCCGGGTCAACAGCCAGGATTGAGTATGAAGATATATCGAAAGCGGGAAGCGGTGCATACGGATGCACCTACTTTGCCTTGCCCCCGGAATGATCTGCGTGAAATAGCCAGTAGGGAAGCCTTGTGAACCTATCCAACTTCAAGGCACGACTACGCGTCGTCAAGCAGATTGTCACCGTGAGGCAGAACGTCGATGACAGGGAGGACATCAAGAAAGAGGTGACGGCCCTGAAAGCCATTCAAGCCTTGGAAGGAGGACCTGTTCGAAATCGAGTCATCAGACTCCTATATAGCAGTGAGCTGCACGATGCTACTGCTGAACCGTGGTACGCAATGACTGCTGTATGCGGTCCCAGTATTGCGAAGTTTAAGACTGCGTGTCTTAGAAAACACTACTACATCCTTAAAGAACTCGTGTTAACTACACATTTTCCTTCATTTATTTGAAGCCACAGCTTTCCTAACCCGCAAGCAAATTCTCCATGGGGATATGCACCCGGATAACATCATGCTTGATCCGTCGAAACAAGATTTCCCTGGATTCCCTAATATCGTCATCATCGATTTCGGAAAGTCGCACGTTGTCGACAAGTCTAATCCTGTGGGTTTCTACGACCGCGTTATGAAGGATGCATGGTTTGCCTACTATGTCATATATGACATGACCAACAACGTAAACAGCCATAACCCCATGATGCCGCGCCCGAAAGATCATAGGTGGAGTGAGTTTACCAATGCCATCAAAAACAAGATGGATGACCTCAGTCGTGTGCGAGGTAATTATTCTTCGCGCGTCAAGAATTGGAAGCTCGAAATGTTCCTCCAGAGATTCGGCAGGTTTGCAACCTAGCGCCGGAAACAAACGCGGCCTGCAGTCTTTGAGAAGGTTGAGAGCGTTCTAAATGGCTTCACAGAAGATATCGACAACAGACTTCAAGCGGTTCTTGATAATATTTCCAACACCGCCTTCTCAGCCTCCTTATACTCAGCCTCGTCCGCTTCTGACTCCTCCGCTCCCGACTCCTCCGCCTCAGACTCCTCAGCCTCAGACTCCTCAGGCTCGCTGATAGAGCCACCAGCGTTCTGCGGATACTTCCCCTCATCATAGTCCTCCACGAAGGCTTGCACTCCCGCAGCAATTCGACACGGGAGGTTGAATCGCTCTAAATTCCTTCTCCGCCCGGCTTCTAGATACGAATGTTCGAGGTAAGTGCCCTGTTCACTTAGTCCAATACTCAGACGCAATCTTTAGTATCAATAGACTTCATACTCTATCATATTTGCCTGTGTCCGTATTCTGTGTTATCTTCGCAAAGCGTATGTTTCGCACTGTTTTTGTTTAACACAGCTGCCAACGTGTAATTCCAGTTGCGGCATTTCGAAGCCGTTTTAGAACTCGCCTCGCAAACCATCGTTTCACGCAAGACACCCGCCACCACCGCCTTTGAACTGGTCTCAATACATTGCAATCCTGGAACAGATGTTGGCTCAATCGGTCTCCGTCCATGCTCTCCGGTCAAGGGGACACGCTCTTCTTCTCAATCCCCAACATACCGTCATCAACCATGTAAGCTCTTTTCGCCATTGTACATACACACCAAATCAACGCTTTGCTATTGAAGAACTGTCTGTCGGTGTCCAGTATCTATCATTTTACACACATCGTTCAGTATCATTTCACTGTGTATAAGTTCTACGCTCCAGCGAAGGGGATGGGCCACAACCCCACCTCCGTAAATCTACGCAACGCGCCGTGAAACCGCCTTTCAAGATTCAGCGTATTGCCGCTCTTACGAACGCGAGACCAAACACAACACCGAGCACTAGTGCGCACCCAAAGATGGACATACGATCAGAAATGCCATTATTGCCAAAGGGCTACCTTGCCATCCACGAGGCTGTAACGGGTACGCCGTCTTTTCCCTTCCTACTCAGGCTCTTGAGTCGGCTCTTGAAGCAGCAAATGACGTTGAACTCGGGGGATTGAAGTTCCAACTTTGCGTTGTGAAGGTCGCAACTTCGCGCCCAAGACAATCACTTGTCAACGAAGTAACCGCGCTGAAAGCAATACAGGCTTCGAAGGGCCCTCTTGAAAGGCGCTTCGCTGGCCTTGTAGACGAAGGGGAAGTTGGCGAGACCGCAGGGCCGTGGTATGCCATGGCCCCAGTTCTTGGACTAAACTTGGATGAATTTGTTCAGCCCTACACCCAGGAGGAACGATTCATCCCTAGGGAATTCGTATTCCACATATTCCTTTAGCTCTTCGAGGGCCTCGCGTATCTCCACCGCCAAAATCCGCCAATCTTTCACAATGACATCTTCTCTGGTAACATAATGCTAGACTATTCGCGGCAAGACTTCCCTGGATTCCCGAACGTCCTACTTATTGACTTCAGGAATGCGCCACCAAGAGTATATAAGGTCCAGCTTGAAACGTTTGCGTCCAGCGATGCCCGGGGAGCTTACGATGTGCTCTAGAGACTCACATTACCACGGCATAACAAACCTGACCTTTCTGTCAAGACAGATAGTGAGTGGGTCGATTTCGTCGCCGGAGTCGCTGATAAGATGCGAGCCAGCGGTAACCCCAGATGGGAAACAAAGTGGTGGGAACCTCACTCCTTCCTCGGGAAGTTTGGAAAGGTTGCTGAAGAGTGCCGAGCCAAAACCCCGCCTGATGTATTTGTAGAAGTCCAGAGGCCCCTTCATATGCAGCATCTTGAAGAAATGCTTGATGATAGACTTCTTGCGGCGCTCGAATGGCACCTCATGGAGAAAGAAGTTGCTTCTTGAATTGATCCTCTCACTTCGATTTCGTTGGGAGCTACTTTCATTCGACTGTTTTCAATCTAGAAAGAAGTCAAACCCTTGAGTTGGCCGGAACCAGCTTCTCTCAATATCCAGCCTCACAATCGCATGTTCCTATGCTCTGAGTTTCTTCGTAAGTTAGTAACGATTATTGCGATGTCCCTCTTCCGCTCCTACTTCACCACCATCTTCGCAAATCCACCCTTCTCGAATGCATGAAGCTCACCGGTGATGCGTTGCGAATGTCGAATTCTCAAAATCCTACGCGTCAAATCGCGGCAAGCGCTAAAGTACCGTGAACATATCTGGTATTGTTCACGTAACTCAAGCTCCTCATCATTGTTCATAAATTATTCACATCGTAACCTCGCAATGTATAAGTTCAATGCGCCCGCAACAGGAGACCCCAAGACACCTTCACACAAGTCGGCAAGATAATCTCCAACGCTTCTTCAACCACCTCAGACAGCCACAGCATAGACATGACGGGCTACGAACTCCCCGAGGTGCCCTGCCCAGAAAACTACCTCCCCATCCACATGGCGGGCGAAGGCACAAACGGGTACGCATACTTCTGCATCCCCAAACGCTCCATAACCTCACCAACTAATCAATCAGACCTAAAGAAACTACGCTCAAAGATCTGCGTCGTGAAAGTCGCCACATCTCGTCGTTTTCGCAAAAGGGACGCGGTGAAGCGGGAGGTCGACTCACTCCTAGCTGTCCAGACGCAAGGCGGCTCCCTTTCGAAACGCGTCGTCCAGATAGTTGATATAGGAGGCATCAACGAGTTGGCCGGCCCATGGTATGCGATGGCTCCGATCTATGGCAAGAGCCTCGATGCATTTATGAGGCCGTACCTGATTGAGGACAAGTCTGTTCCCCAGGCGTTTGTGTGGCATGTATTTTTTCAGTTGTTTGAAGGGTTGGCGTATCTGCATAGCCCGCGAATGGTTCATGGGGATCTGTGTTCGGGCAGTGTTATGCTCGACTCCGCTCATCAGGATTATCCGGGCTTCCCTAATGTGGTCCTTATTGACTTTGGGAGTTACGAAGCTCCGACTGGAAATGAGGAGGAGCTTAAGGAGGCGGTGGCCTCCGACGCGTGGCAAGCGTATGATATCGTTCATAGGCTGACCTGGCGAGGTTATCAAGAGCCGAAGCTCGATCCTGAGAATGATCTTGATTGGGCTAACTTTATCAATGGCCTCAAAGATATGAAGCGGGCATCTGGTAATCTTGCTCGAAGATTACAGGGCTGGGATACACGAGAGTTCCTCAAAAGATTCGGGGATATCGCAGCTAATCGCAGGAAAGGCACGACTCCAGAAATTCTCCAAGAGATCCAGGAAGCTCTGAACCTAAAGGAGATCCACAAAACTCTGGACCAGAAGCTGCGAGCTGCCGTTGAGTGGCATTCTCTTGAACAGGTAGTCGAACCCTAGTTTGCTATTCTTTCTTCATCTGTCTCCCCTCCCCTCGATTTCTTCTCTCATAAATCTTCTGATATAGCGTAAACGCAAAAGGAGTCGGCCCGATCCGGCTTCTCTCTTTCCTAAATCCAGTGTCCAAACCCATTCGCGTTCTGGTGAAGCCGCATCCCAAGCACCTCTCATTGTTTATCCATGTACATACGTGACTTTGTTTACATATATTTACACGAACCATTCTCGTACATATAACTACACCTGTAGCGTTATTCACACATATTCACTGATCTCAACATTGTTCATAATCTGTTTCACTACTTTGATGATGCATAAAATCCCATCCCCAGTGAAGGGAGACCATCAGAGATCCCAATCCGAAGAAGAGCACACCACCTTGAACTAAATCTCCAAGTGTAACTCTTTACCCACGTTGCTTCGGACTTTCAATACACCCACCAGTCCTAGAGATGGTTCCCCAACGGCCTTCAAATCTATTGCCAAAAGGCTACATCGGCGTCATGAAAGCCGGCGAAGGTGGCAACGGGTATGCACATTTCTGCCTTCCAACGCAAGCTCTCGAATCCACCACTGACCAAAGGCCAGAAATAGAGACCCTGAAACCACAGCTCCGCGTCATCAAGACGACAAAAGTACACTTCAGCTTCTTTCTCAAACGCGGGCTCACCGCAATGAAGTAGATCATGTCGCTCTCAGACGCGCCCACCAGCCGCTTCATCACCCTTGTCAACGAAAGCGGGCTGGATGAAGCCGCCGGACCCTGGTTGGCCATCGCTCCTATCCTTGGGCGGACTTTAGAAAGGTTCGTGAAACCATACTCCAGCGGTGGAAAGCATCTTCCGATGGAGTTTGTGTGGCACGTCTTCCTGCAGGCGTTCGAGGGGATTGCCTTCCTCCATAGCCAAGAGATCATCCATGGCGACCTGTTTGATAGGAATGTCATGTTCGATCCCAGTCAACAAGATTTCCCTGGGTTCCCGAATGTGGTGATAATAGATTTCGGGTCTGCCAAGATTCTGAAATCGACGAAGTTCCTGGGGCAGCATAGCCCTGAGGAACATCTTGCTAACGATGCGTGGTCAGCCTATGATTTGATCTATAGGCTCACGTGGGAGGGCGTCGAGAACCGGAGGGTAGCTCCTGACGTAGAAGATCCGTGGAACAGGTTCACCAAAGATCTCGATGATATGAGGTTGGCCACCGGCAACGTATGGCAGGAGACCAAGGGGTGGGATACTTACCTCTTTCTCAGAAAGTGGGGGAAGGTCGCCGCTGAAGCTCGGGATAACACGCCCCCTAAAGTGTTCCAGGAGATCGCGAGCGCGTTGAATGTTGACAAGCTCCATAAGAAGATTGATGACAGCTTGCAGGCCGTTGTCAAGCGGCATGCAGGAACTCGTTAGGTTCCCCACTGCTTCTGAGTCGTGATTTTTTGCCTCGCGATGACCTTTCTAGTTTCGCCTAGATCTTCCTTCTCACTCTAAAATCTCTAGCGTAAAATAAATGAAAACTTTAAAGTCAGCTAAAGCCGACTTTGCCCAATCTCAAAACAAATCTAGAATATACGTGCATTTTCTATGCCAGTGACACCCCTACAAATAACTGAAACTCCCACGTTGTACCAATAGCCATCGATCTATCGTTTGCGAGTAGAGCACTTCACCCCGTATCTTTTATGGATCTATCGCAGCTCTTCCCGAGTCGCCTCCTTACACCAATACGTTGTTTGACCCGCCCAGTAATCTCGCAGATCCAACACAACCTTTCTCAGCTGCGGTGTCGCAATCTTGAATTCCTCGTCGAAGAAAGCCTTCAACAGTGCTATAAGCGGCTCTTTCATCCAGCTCTCGAAGGTAGGAATATCCCACAGGTCGTCTAAGATTTTCAGACATTTGAGCGCCGGGGGCAGGACGTCAGCAAGCCGCCGCACACGACAGCGTAGCGTTTTTTCGACCGACTATCGTCCGAATCGGATGTATCCCAATGGCACGGAGGCATGGGACCAAAGAGAATCGCCAAAGGAACGTGGAGACACGTCAAGGCAGTGAAGTCGCGCAAGAAGCCGACGGCGTCGATGGAATTCGAATCGGACACTTCGCTCTCAATAACGTCGAATTGATATGTGATTATGAGATATGAGAGAGTGTTGCGGAGGTGATGCAGCCTCCGCTGCAGCTGACCGAGCGCCAGACGGCCGGTCCCGTCTAGCTGGATGTTATATTCCAGCGTGGTGAGCTTGGGCGCTAGTTTCAGCAAGACGGCGGCACTTTCGATAGGTGCATGCCCTTCGCCGATGAGTTCTAGGGTAGCAAGATTAGTCCCGACTGGCGGATGATGGAGCGGCCAGAAGGGACGTTTGCCGTTAGCATAGCTTTCGGCAAGCTGCGCGGCAAGACTACGCCCGTCAGGTCGAGGTTGGCAAGCTTTGGCAAGTAGAAGAATAGCAACAGGTTCTCCTTGGGATATGGAAATGGTTGTAACCGGTCGCGACCGAGACTCGGACCCCACTCCACTACATTTACCAGGCGATTGAAATTTGACGACCTCTTCACTTCGCCAGGGACGATTATCGCATGCCGCAACATCGTAGTCGACCATTCGTACCCATAGAGAACATCGAGAGCGATCTTGAGAGACTGAAGGTCTGTGCATCGCGCCAGTAGCAGTGCTATCATAGCACCAACGTCGTTGTCCCGGGTAATCGCTTTCTTCCACCTCTCTTTCTGCGGCAATTCCATCTCTTCAATCGCTTTCTCAAACAAGGCTGCTTCTGTCTCACCATGCGCAGTTGGGCAGTGGCTCACGACCCGAAAGTTGTATGTTTTTATCATACGGGAGTTCGGGCCCCATCGTGCCCTCTATATATTCCAATGTCTCTCCGCGTTGAAGCTCAGATGTTTGATGAATGGCGTATATTCTGGATGCTCCAGTATTGTTCGCAGTAGGCATACAATCTTCGGCGTTTTGTCTACCTCTTCAACATCCCAGAACATGACGATTTTGTGGTAAAGAGCTGGAGTAGCCGTGGTGTGTAATTCTTTGCACGTTTCGGAGAGGCTAAGGACATCCCAACGGTCTACCTCAGTGAAAACTGCGTCTTTGAGCTCGTTGGGAATGCTGATCAAGTACGCCATTATCGCGGGTGGTTGTGCTGTGTGTGATATGGAAGCGATGGAACTAGAAGTCAGTGAACCCAGATACACCTACGTTGTTGTGTTCCTCAGATTCCGGAACGAACATCGTAGGTCTGAAGGCTGGTCACGTGTAAACAGCATGTAATCCAAATCATACATTGTATCCTTGCAGGAGAGTAGAGCAAGTTTCCGATTACGTAATTGAGTAAGAGGAGCTATTTTAATGGAAGCTTCAGTCCCGTTAGCTTCTTTTTGGACATGGCCACGGGCAATTAATATACTTTCGCAAACTTAAAGCGACCTAGCGTAGTCCCCAGAACACAAGGTTTCGCATCGTTCGAGATCGCTCAGCGAGGTGAGAGGTTTGTTTAGCGACAGACTAACACATCGTTCAGATATTCGAAATTACGCTAAGAAACTTCGAGCTGTGGCAAACATGTGCGCATGTACCAAGTTACAATCAAGTTGAGGAGCACGAAGAGAACTGTACTGAGAGTACTTTGCACGGAGGATTGTTGAGAGTTACACAAGGACCCATCTAGAGGCACCTAGTCCGACAAGTCCCAGGCTTCGCTCCTCACAATGTTGCCACTTTCCGAAGGTTTCCCAGTCCAATACTTCCATCATCACCCACGATATTTGCCCTCTGACCTAACGTCCATAGTGTGACATTTAAGTATTCGTGTTGGGCGAAGAGTCGTCGGATGCCTGACTGGGTCTCAACGGGTCTCCAGACATTGCCTTCGGGTCGAACAAGGCGAAATGATCTTCCTGCTCAGTCTCAAGCATCCCCGGAGCGTTGATACATTCCGCCACAGCTGCGTGAAAGCCCTTGTTGATCTTACAATCGTGGTGTGCGACCACCGTAAGAATCTCAAGCGAGTTGAGCTGGGAAACGAGGCCGGTAACGTCTGTCTAGTCTATTGGGGGGGGCGGCTGTTCTGGCCATAGTCGGAGCGGCCCTAGGCCTCTGAGTAAAGATCCGAAGGCCATACTATCACAAACCCTAGCCTGATGGGTGCTGGAATGGTTGTAATAGGTTGCTGTTCCGGAGAGAAGGCGAATGTAGTGGGAGAAGATGTCCATGATGGCCTTGAAGGTCTTGCGTATCCCGGAGATAGTTTTCGCTGCTATTTCATCAGCACGTATTCTCTATGGGAATATAAAAGGGACTAGAAAGATGATAGTCTCTCGGTTCCCAGAGCGAGACACTTAGCAAGCTGAACGGCATGTACTATATCTGAAGGGATGGTACTAAGCTCGTGGTGAAACACGATGCCCTGGATGCTGACATGACGCAAAAGAGCTTTGAAGGTTTCCGGATGTCCGAGGAACCATGCCATATACACCCAACGCAAATACCCCGGCTTGAACATGTGTTGAGTGTAAGATGAAGTCCAGAGTCGGACAAATGGCCGGACAAGCTCGATGGTTTCCTGATAGTATGCCAATTCAACAACTTCATAAACCTGAGGAAACGTGAGATCGTCTGGGACTTCCGAGAAGTTGGCGTGGGCAATGCGCAAAAGTAGCAACATGTTGGCTGAGTTTTTATGGGTGGCCACCTGCAGCGCTAGTTTTTTCCGCGCATAGCCCCAACGAATGCGGTTTCCCCGTATGCTACTTGCGCGAGAAACACACCTCTCCGATGCTAGGATGCTAGAGTAGTCGTCGTCCGAGCTGGAAGTATCGTAGTCGGCGTCGTCGAAGCTGTCGTCCTCGTAGCTGTGAATCGTAGCGGCGTGATAGTCATCGTAATCAACGTCGTCGACAAACTCCTCTAGACCAGTCTGAAGGTTTCTGCGATGATTCTTTTTGCCCGACTTCCCTATGATCTCGTTTGATTCGTCGCGTCTGCAGGAGAGGTCATTGATAGCGCCCCGCGATGGAGCTGTAGAAGGAGCGCGTCTGGAGCTCGCCGCAGGACAGCCTGTAGGTGGTGAAGGTGCGAAGAAGGTCGACAGAGATGAGCAAGCAGGTGAAGTAGGAAACGCTAATCCTCGGCAGGAAGTCATGCGCTCGTGGACTCCACTTGGTCGTGACCCGTGCGCGAACGGCGATTGGGGAGATCCTGTCTGAGATGGGACGGGACCCTGCTGCGGAGGCAAAAGGAGAACCGGAGTGAAAGATGTGAAGAGTCAGGAATGAATAGATAGTAGATGCAGTGTGTGATGTGGGACTGTACACGCTTTGCTGCCACTATTTTTGGTGGCTAGGTGAGGAGAGGAGCGGAGAAATGATGAGCGGAGGGCTTCGTTGGACTTCTGGCTGTGTAGCAGAACATCCGGCCAGCAGCAGATAGGCTGGTTCAGATTATGGTTCCATACTTGTATAGAAGAAATGAGGTTGATGAGAGGCATCTAGGGAAGCTTGAAGTAGATATGTAAAGCTAATGGAAAGACGGATGGAAACCAAGATGCCAACCTCTCAACGAAAAATTGAATCCACCTCTGATTACCTCTAATAAATCCTAGGGATACCACGCTTCCAACTCTTCATCCCATAAGTAGAGATGTTAAGAAGACATTCGAGTTGGGATCTTCGCCCGTCTACTTTGCCTCCGATTTCCATCCCGCGCCTTTTGCTGAGCGGATCGCCATCCGCATCCTACACATCCCGTTGAAGATGGAGCACCCTTGGGGCTTCCCATTGAGGCAGATTCTTCTCCGACTCTCTCAGCTTGAACATTGCGAAATGTCGACGCAGGTCGTCCGAATGAAAGTCAATGTTTTGCAAACAGCACTCGATATCCCGGTGAAACCTTTCGTTGGCATCACAACCACAGTAATTTGCATTGGGCATATTCTTGTACGTTAATATCTCGGCTCTGGCGAGGGACTTCATAATCTCTTCCACACTAGTCATACTATCGAGAGCAGCCGGCTTGGGAGACATGAGGCAATCCCGTCTCAAAACTATGAGAAAGGATCCTAAGGCGAAGGAATCGCATTCAAACGCTGAGTCTTCATCACCACCGACGCAATTGGCTTTGGGGTAGTTATGACTCGATAGAGAGTCGACGTATCGGTCGCAGGTGGATTGGATTGCGAGGAGTTCTCTCCAGACGTGCTCTAGATGATCTGTTCAAGGAAACAAAAAGATTAGGACGAATCTCAGACACAGTATGTGCAGGGTGTTGGAGCCGCAATTATATTGTTCAATCAGCGTCCAGACGGGCACTGTTGGTGTTGAGGAGGGGAGTCTCACGGGAAAGCGCTATCATTGGTGTCGACAATGACAAGACTTGGTAAATGCCCATAAGTCTCCCAGGTTGTAGCCAGGTGAGCTCCAGTCCGACATGATAGCTGGTTGCGAATGCCCTTGAGTAAGATTCAAAAGCATCCTGGTATCCGATGGCCCAAAATACGAAAGACCACATCTCGCTATTTTGCCAATGGTAGGCACGAGGCAGAAAGGGGGAGGATCCAGCCTCGAAGGAATGGCCGGATTAGCTCTACCATGTTGTACTTGTAGCACAAGAGTGCAAGAGACCAAATTTCGATAGGTTGAAGGGCTTCTGGAAGCGAATCGAAACTAGCGTGAGCAATCTTGAGAAGAAGCAAAATCATTTCGTTTACCTACAGTAAAGCCACATCGTATTCTTCGTCCTTACCGAAATCCTCGACGTGATCCAGGGGCAAAGACAGCTTCAAATCCAACGGGAGCCAATGAGCATGGATCTCCACACTGAGCTTGCACGGCGGAGGCATGTAGCTGAGACTAGATATGTTGCTTCTTCTTTATCGCCCTGATCAGAATTACAGAGTGACACACGGAGATCCCCTTCCGGATCCACGATATAATCTTACTCCAGTGGTGTATGGGAATGGTGGCCATCCATGGTAGATGCATCTGAGCTATTATCCTGGTCCATGGCTTCTTTGCCTGTAGCCAAGGTCCGATCCTAGGAGTCTTGGAGGTGGAGTAGTAGGCTGGTATAATGAATCTGTGAATATTTAGACAAGCAGACGGAAGGCAGAAGGCAGAAGATAAATAGATGAACGCCTCGTACCCTCATTCCACTGCTGTGCCGTAGTGGCTGAGCCCACCAGACGTCATCACCTGTTTCGACACCGCATGAATTCCTAAGCGCCGGCCACGCAGCCCTCGCAGCCCGCCCATCGCAAAGGGGCCATCGACGACCGATGATTGGCAGGAGTGTCAAAGCCTCAATGAAAGTCCTCCCGTGGCGTAGTAACCATGGGTCTGTGCGTCGGAAAATCACGTTGCCGAAAATTTGGGAGAATGGCTAATAATGAAGCCTTCACTCAAGGGTGACCATGGCTGTGTTGGAGGACGTACTTCAAGGAAGGGATACGGGACTAAGACTGACAACTAAGAAACATATAATTGTTCAAATGAGATGTGAGATGATACCATGGTAGAAAGACGACTTGACAAATGGAAAGGTAGCACAGTCAAGGGAGCAGATACACGGGAAAAAGAGAAGAACCCAGCCTGACTTTCAAGGTTGGACTTTGAATTCAAGTCTCTGTGCCATAGTAGCTACTGCACAGAGATCGTAATTTGGAGTACTTCACTGCGCCGTGTTATACCGCCCACCTTCACACACACATGACACCCCTTCCAGCACATGTGGTCACACCTGCCCGCTCACTCGCATGTATCAGACCACACCTCCAGTTCCAAAGCTCCAAGAATCATACAATTAGCCCGTTCGCTTCGATTTTCCATCCAAGCCGGAGAAAGGTGCACTACTTTTTTCAATACCTAGAGTCCCAGTGATCAGCAACTGCTCCAATCAGCAACCATCAACCTCCATTCCCGTCGCCGGTAAGCGCCAGAACCAAAGATTTTTGGTTTTATGAGCTTCCCGACCATTCCACCAAAATATAATTACAGACTAGAAAAGGAAAATGCCGGTGTTCTTCGGAGTAAAGACAAAGCCAGCGCTAAGACTGGGAAAATCATGGTATCCTGCCAAAAATGGCGAGGCGCATCTCTGGAGGTTGGCAGATGGCAGGGAGGGAGATGGAGAAATGGGGGTAGGAAGTGCAAAAGGAGACCATGAGAGGTCCAAAAGGATACAATTACCAAGCATCAACGTCGAAGTACTCCTGAAAACCATTTAGCAACTGTCATCATCTGATAGAGAAAGGGACAACGTACTTCTCCGAAGTAAGTAACGACAACGGTACGATCGGCGAACTTGCGGCCGGCAAGAGCATTGAGTGCCTTCTGGGCATATTCGTTCTCTGCATACTTGACGTAGATTTTGCCAACGCCGGGGTTGGTACGGGGACCGCTCGGGCGGGGGATCTTGAAGCCGATGATCGGACCATACTTTTCACATTCTTCACGGACGTCTTCCACAATTTCTGAAAGGTTATGTTAGTACCCGGCGTTCAGAGAAAGGCTTTTGAAGTCATACCTTGGTAGTCTTGGTCATCCATGAGCTCCTCGGCGGTGACCATGTTGAGCAACTGGAGAACACGGCCTTTCTCCGAGTCGGTCGAAGTGGTCGCTGCGAGGACTGACATCGCATTAACACCCATCTCCATCCCAGCAACCTGTTTCACGCCGACGCAAGCGCGTTGGACCTTCAGATGGTCATCGCCAAGCTCCATGCCGTTGAGACCCTCGAGAGCAATCTCAGCAACCAGTGGATCAACGTATTCGCAGAAAGCGATGCCCTGAAACAGACTGTTAGCAAAACCTCGATCTCTTGACAAGCGCAACTTGCCCTAGACTGATCAGTATGAATATCCTTGGCCAAAATGAAAGATTTGACCTCTCCAAAAGCGACTAGAAGCTCCGAGACTTGGGTATCCTCCAGATAGGTGGGAATATGAGAGATGCTGATCTTGTCGCCCGAGTCTTTGACGACGTTTGAGATCACACCTGGCACCGGCTCTTCCTCATTGTCAACTGCAGGGACAATGTAGTCCTTCGGCCTCCGGATCTTCAAGCCGCTCTGGTCTCCATTATGCATGCCGTTTGATGTCTCCATGTCGTTGTCCTCCATTGTGATTCCGTCCATTGCCAGCGCGAAAGTGGCATCCTCGGCAGTCTTGAACTCGACGAGAGAGAAGACTCGGTCGTTGGAGATGTGGGAGGAAAGGCAAGGGTCCGGGCCGGACACAACATTCAAGTTGTTAAGCTGGAGATTGAGGAAATCGACGAGCGACTGGTTGGTGGCCGAGGCGGGCAGGTTCTTCACGATCAATCGCTTGGCCTGGCGAGCGTTGGACGGCTTGAGCGCGGATGCAGTCGCAGAGCCGGCGGGCTGGTTCATGAAGGCCTGGAGACGACTCGGGTCCATGGGCTGCGTGCGAGGAGCGCCGGGGAGAGGGAACATGCCCGAGAGCTTGGCCTGCTCGGCGGTGACATTGTCGTAGCCGCTTGGCTTAATGTCCCACTGGGTGAGGCGGCGCTTGCGCAGGAGGACATTGGTGACGTTGGTCAGATCGGGTGTTGGCTCTCTCTTCTTCGGGGGCGGCGATGCGCTCTTCTTCCTGTCGCGTCCTCCAAAGCCGCCGTCGCGGTCACCGCGGTCACGTCGTCCACCCCGCCCTCGGTCGCCTCTGTCATCGAACGGGTCGGGTCGTCGGGCCCGCGGCTCGTCGTCGTCTCTACGGGGGTCTCGGCGCGACGAGGTACGGTCGCGGTCCCAGGCACGCTCGGGGCGTTCAGGACGCTCGGGGCGGTCCTCGCGCCTGTCTCTGCCGGCGTACCTGTCCTCGCGCTCTCGCTCTCTATAGTCGCGGCTGGAGGAGTACGAGTCTACTTCGTATTCGCGCCGAGAGCTTCGGTGGGGGGACCGGGAGCGACGACGGCTGTCGCGATCTCCGCCGCGACGGTCTCCTCGACGGTCGTCTCGGTCACCGCGGCCGGACTGGTGGGAGCGCGAAGACGAGTGGCGTCCGCTTTCTGTTGGAGCCTGTTAGCACGACCGCGGACGCAGGTTAGTGGACGTTGCGAGAGAAATTAGGATACCTCGCGGCCAGGCGTCGCCGTTCATGTTGACTGTTTTCTACGCGTGCAAGCACCGCAAGTCAGTGCGCAAGCGAATGATGCGTGGGAGCTCCTTGTCGGACAGAGCGCGAATCCAGCAGAGCGTGCAGAGCTGTGCGGAAGCGCGGGCGATGGATGGGGGACGACTGGTGGTGGTGGTCGAGTCTTGGTGGTGAGTGAGGCTCAAGCCGGACGAGAAACGACCTGAGCGTGCTGAGCTTCTGAAATTTGGAGCCAAGCCGCTAGCGACGCTACCCCTGCATGCCCTGCTCAACACCAGAACGCGCATCGCCACTCTCCAGCCCAGCACGCGTCGCGAATCTGCCTCTCTGCAGGGCGAAATGCCTTCCCTACGCGCATCCGAGTGGCAGAACCTGCCTGTCAGCTTGAAGGAGCTCTGCATCAATACCACATTGCGCTGCGGCCAATCTTTCCGGTGCGCCCTATCCTGACCTCTGCAATCGCCCCAGCTGACCCCCCGTGTGTAGGTGGAGGAAGTCTGCAGAGGACGAATGGTCTCTCGCACTCCACGGGCGCATCCTCTCACTCCGACAAGACTCTGAACGTCTACACTACCGCGCATCCTTCCCCAGCGCCGCCCTGGCACCCCCTACTCCTCCCGCCTCTACTGTCCCGTCTGCTGCCGAATCGGTAAATCAAGACGACGATGACACCCTCGCCCTCGTCAAGCACTACTTCAACCTCACCCCGAATCTCGCCCAGCTCTACGACCAGTGGGCGCTGGCCGACCCCAATTTCAGGAAGAGAGCGCCCAAGTTCACAGGGGTGCGCATACTGCAGCAAGACGCGTGGGAAGCTCTCATAGGCTTCATCTGCAGCAGTAACAACAACATATCGCGCATCTCCCAGATGGTCCACAATCTCTGCCTGCACTATGGTCCGCTGATAGGCCATGTTGGAGCCACTCCCTACCACGACTTTCCTACCCCCAAGGCGTTGACCGGACCGAAAGTGGAGCAACATTTGCAGAAGCTGGGATTTGGATACAGGGCGAAATATATCTACAAGACTGCGGTAATGGTGGAAGAGAAGGGTCTGGACTGGCTCCAGGATCTGTGTAACCCGGAGAACCCTCCGCTTGGTGTGGATCCTAAGCCTGCGGGCGAGCTTGTTGAAGGAGGGCGTGGGGGTTACAGGAGAGCGCACGAGGAACTGTTGGCATTGCATGGAGTAGGGCCCAAGGTGGCAGACTGTGTTTGCTTGATGGGCCTCGGTTGGTCCGAGTCGGTGCCCGTCGACACTCATGGTAAGTAGCCATCTACTCGTGAGGATGACTGCCGCTAATTGTGCTTCAGTCTGGCAAATCGCGCAGCGAGACTACAAGTTCGGTAAAGGCAAGCACAGCAGTCTCACCAAGGCAACCTACGATGCGGTCGCGAATCGCTTTCGAAGTCTGTGGGGCAAGGAAGCTGGCTGGGCACATTCAGTACTATTCACCGCCGATCTCAAGACCTTCTCAGAGCGGTTGGTAGCCAAAGTGGAAGTGAAGGAGGAAACCGTCGTCAAGATCGAGGTCGATGGCATCAAGCAAGAAGCAGATATGGTTCGGATGGAGACGATTACCGAGAAACGGGTGAAGCGACCGTTCGTGAAAGAGGAACATCAAGTTCTAGAAGTCAAAGAGGAGAAGGTTACTCGGAAGAGGGCGAAGAGAACGAAAACCTAATTGCATCACATTGACATGTATAATCATCGTGTAAGTATGAAAGGTAACGGGGTCACCAATTCAAAATAATCTCAGCAATGTTATCGCGATCATCGATCTAGTTGCATCAAACTCAATTATCTGCGCGATATTCGAATTGCTTTTCATCGCTTGCGGTGTGGCCAACTTCATTGTCTAGTCCGCATGGCCATATTAGCGGTCCCACGACAATGAATTGTGGATGTTCCTTTGTTCTCCATCCTTTGTCGAATTCTTTCTACTATCACGGCGACCAATAGCCCTATACAGCACCGCACCATTACCATCGCAGAAACATGATATAGCTTCTCCAAACTCTTTACTTTCGACGACATCTATATACAATGGCGAAAACAATAGTCCCGCACCACCCCCTCGCTGGGCGCGCATCAGATCCCAATCGCACACTATACAACGTCTACCTCGACCGCCAGATCGACCCCCTCTCACATCTCCCAGAGCTCTCAAAACATGGTTGCATGGACGTTCCCGGCCTTCCCGAAGACGATCTGGACACCGCCGAAGCAGATCTCCACCCTCTCCTCCAGTTCTCAAATTTTTATGGCATCACGAAACGGGAGTATAGGCAGTTAGCTTCAGCCCTGCAGCTGGCTAACAAGTTCCTCACGGAAGATGCGATGCTCGGATGGTGGGCGCATACGAAGTTCGGCGTTCCGATGATACAGAGGAAATCAGGAAAAAAGTACCTTGAAAAAGGACCGGAAGAAGCTGATCGCGAGTCAGCTCTGTGGGAGATCTAGAAGACACTGGTAGAGCTTGCGGAGAGCATTGAATTTGTGTTCCAGGATCCGGCGACGTGGTGGCATAAGCGTGGGGAGGATAATACGGACCGTGAGTGTGTGCCTATTCCTATGCGCCCGGCTCATCCACAGGATAGCACGGATGGTGACCGTACTCCTGTTCTACCTCGCCTAGATAGCCCCAGAGAGGAACTAATGGGCCTGAGGGGCCATTTGGATAATTTGGAAAAGGAGTTAAACAGCTTCCAGGAGGATTTGAAAAAGCATAGAGAGCAGCTGGAACGACAAAAGAACGAATGGGATGACCTGTTGAAGCGCCTGAGTAGGGTTCAAGCCAAGTTATCCAACCTCGGGAAGTTAAACGGAGAACCCATCACTTAGTCTGAATACAAGAGCAACAACAATCCAAACGATGACTGGGTCGACTGTTCCTCCTTAACCTCCAACAACCCCTCCACTCCCTCCCCTCCTACCACCACCACTACCTCCCCATTCGGCCCTAACACTAAGTGGCGCTACGAAATCCAAATCAACCCCCTCTACGGCGCCCACCTCCGCCGCCTCGCCTGCGGCTACTCCCCCTCCCCCTTGGCCCTCCAACGCCTCGATTTCTTCCTCGCCACCCTCCTTACCCACGAGCTCGCCCACGCGTTTTGGAAACACTTCCGCGGCAATGTCACAGAACCATACCACTCTCTCCACGAACTCATCTCCGACCTCCACCCCTTAAAGAAAACCACCGCTATGGGCCTAGAGCTCGGCTGGTTGTGGGCGAAATGGGCCACGGGGACCCAGGTCGCGCTGCTCCACCACCCGAGGGAGGTTTACCAACTCGGCAAGTCGAGGACGAGCTTTTTAAGGAGGGGGCTGCCGACGGGGTTTGAGATGAGGATGGTGCATGATCCGGGGTGGGAAAGGGGGCATGGCGCGGGGTGTGATACATGTGTAGAGAATCTGGGGATGCTGCCGCTGCTAACGACGCATGCGTCGGATGGCGGATGGTCGAGGAGGATTGCGTGTCCCGCGCGGGTGAGGAGTGAGGGGAATGAGAGATGGGTTGCGAGCCGTGGGAGACCCGAAACGGGACGACACCGGGGGGCGAAGAGGATCCCGTACAAGAGAAGAGTCTTCCAGGATCGTAGAGCAAAAGTTACACCATGTGAGCGTGATCTTGGTTATGAAGAGCTTTGGGTGTATGTGACGAGTCAGTGGGTGGGTAGTTGGTTCCTAGAGGAGACGAGGAGGATTAGGGATGAGGGGAGGAGGATGTGGCATAAAACGTTGGAGGGAAGCGGGATGAGGGTCGGGGTGGCGTATAGGGAGGTTCTGGGATGCCCAGGGTGGGATGTGAGGCCGCTGAAGGGGTCGAAGGAGGGGAGGGGGAGGGGTATTGGGAAGATATGGTGAGGGTGAGTAAAGCCGCCCCGGTCTGAAATCTTGTTTTGAGAGATGTGGGAATATATACATATAGCTACACGTCCACGGATCATACCATATTGACATGGGTTTTCCTAAATCTTTGGAGGCATGTCGAGGCACCTCAAGCGGCGGTAGAAAAGTACACACACCGTATCTGTACACACTCGTCGGTGCACCCTCGTCTGCCGTTGCATATCGGATTATGAGATCGTTTCAAGACTTGAGTACCTCTACCCAGCATATTGAGATCACGTGATTGTATTTGGAACGGCCCGGACATCTTCCGTCAGGACCAACTCACGAAGTCAACACAACTTCGATCCTCGATCCTTTCCCCTCATCAAATTATCTTCTACAATGCTAGGGTCCTAGCCTCTAGAGAAAGAGATGGAAGTTGAGGGAGTGCATAGGCGGCGATGCGGCCGCGGGAAACGCAAGAGATCGCCCAGCGAGTGTTCATACGGCCATATATTTACCAGTTCAAATCTTGTACGTGTTTATTTTATGCATTAAAATAAATCTCAAACAATTATTATATTTCCTGTTTTGTATTATATCTTTTTGAGCCCAGTTCCGGGCTAGGGTCCAAACGTCCGACTTTTCAGGACTCGGGTAGACTTGCCCTTCGATATCTCGGCCAAAGGCTGGCAACTACGCCACTTTGTCATCCTTAGAGCCACTAACCAGTAGCTGACGGGTTCCGAGGCTCCAGAAGCTGTATCGGCACCATACACTATCATAATCAAAGCCGTGCCGTAGTTTTCTCTGACACTTTCTAATAAAATCGCCTGCAGCTGTTGCTGTTCCACTTCTATTTCTTCAAGCCCATCTACGGATACGGCAATGCTTTCACACCACGAATCGTTGAGAACAATCGGGTATGGCTCTGCCACAATACACTCACAAAGAACCTTTCACAGGGTTTGGCCTGACAGAGGAGCAAGGGCGGGGCTGGCTTATCGAATACCCGATGGAAGAGGAATGATGCGAGCCTGACTGCCGCAAAAGACTAACGGTCAAACAGCTGAGACTTCTTTGGAGCACCCACGGATGTACTTTGATTGAATAATGGCAACACTATCGTCACATTAAGTGACCGGCGGATTATACGAGGGGCTGGTATTCTATGAAATACGTCTGTAGGATGTGAGTTCCTTCCTGGCTGCCGCAGCACAGCCTGGTTACTCCCTAACCATCCAGGCAACCGTAACCCTAAAGTGGAGGGTGATATAGATGCAACATGCAGCCGCCCCACATGCATCCCCCGGATTCCTGTTATCAAAACCGGGAATAAGAGGCTGTGTCCATGATTCTTAGCCTCCGTCTCACGATTCAGACACCCATCCTGTCCATCTTGGACCAGTTCGCCGCGGATCTTTCAACCGGCACTACTTCTGTTCATGCCGTCCTTGATTCATTCAACATAGCCACTCAGCTGCTCAGATCTATTAACAGCCACGATAATCTACAATCCTGTTACAGAACTTATAGCTGCAGCTCCTTATTCACAAGGGCTCGTGGCGAAGCAACTGTGGCAGTGATGTTTGAATAAGGTTCTTTACTTGTGGTTCCGTGATTCTATAGACACCGCTAATGTGGATGGATTACCGCTGTGAAGCCAAACTCCAGAGCGTGATTGCTCTCGTGGAGGAGACCAAGCGTTCTAGTCCGATCTTTCACTCTTAGCATCGACATTGTAGCGCCGAACATTCGTCAGAGGTTGAGGATCGATGCATAGGCGAGTAATCACAGCAGTATCGCCTCGCAATAGCGAGAATAGAACTCCTACCATTCTCGTGATCCTCCAGCGGTCTCATCATGTCACTGGCCGCTTCAGCCACAACAGCAATGTGATAGTTTACGCCTCTAAGGGGGGGGCAGGATACTATTATACCGGCCTTCTAGGTCTACAGCTTTAGCTAGAGCTGAGGGAATCCAGACTGGAGTCTGCTGGACGCATAATACGTTCTCGTTTTGCAGTGTTAGGGCGATAGACTGACTCTACCAACTCCATCGCCACCACTACACTCGGGTTGCAGCACTACAACCTAGGATCAACAACTCATATGCCAGTGACGTATCAGGGTAGCATGCTGATACAGGAGGAAGCAACAGGTAGTGCAACAGCAGTGCTGCAGCACGGTATTAGTACTGCATCAAGTAATAGGATGTAACCAGCAACGTATCAAGAGAGCTGCCACGTTAAGCCCCCGGGGGTGGGCCCCCTTCCTTCCCCTAGTATATAAACAACGAGCTAGACACCTATAGAAATCAGAGTTCACATCAATTTCAACCTGAGTACTACGGCTCTACTCAGGTTGCAGCACCACAACCTAGGATCAACAACTCATATGCTAGAAAGCTACTCCGAACATCAGCTGTAGAGAACACAGCTGAGATCTCAGCTGTGGAGAGCCCAGCTGAAAACTCAGTTGTGCAGTGTTCAGCTGAACTTACTAGCGCGCCACCCAGGGGTGGCCCCCCTTCCTTCCCCTAGTATATATACAACTAGCTAGACGTCTATAGAAATCAGAGTTCACATCAATTTAACCTGAGTGCTCTACTAGGGCTCACAACGAAGCGACCAAGCCTCCACTGCCTCAAATCCTTGCATTTGGGTGTATATAGTCTCATTCTCACCCCACAGCAGGTCTAAAGGTCTCTCAATCGAGTCGTTCACTGATATCCTTTGTATCCTCGACGTCGTTACGTCCACCTTAGCTCTATCATTCCGCTTGTCGCAATGGCCGAATCCTTCAGTGGGATAGCTAGTTCTATCGCTTCTAATGCTCAGTCCTCGATGCCACTTGACGGTTGCTCTTCCGATGAACGGCGACCATCTAGAGTTAGACCTCGCCCGTTGCCACCGGGAGGAGTTTCTGACATCGCCGAAATATTTGGAGATTCCATAGCTTCCGAGCTTATCCAAGCATCGAGCCCTGCGGTTTTCGAGCAGCTCTGCTCTACGATGTGGCCTGACTCTGCTGCTGGCGGTCGATCCGCTGCCGCTTGAGGGCTCTCAGCCTATCGTGGAGAGGGATTTCCCAGCACTCGCACATGAGCCGCCTTTTGACAACTGTGTCAGCATTCCCATGGACCATAGTGCCTTTCCGCTGATGGAGGGTCTATCAGCTGTCGCACCAGTCGACGGCTTCATGTAGACTGACCCACTGCCACAGCAGGTCAGTATGCCGTTTATCCCACCAGTCAAGACTCTCCTGGTAATTGGTCCTCAGATACAGGGGAATAGTCCGTCCAGTGCGGTGCTTGAAGGCCTCACTAGAATTCATCATGTAAGGGCAGACATTTCATTGCCTAGCAAACCGTTTGGAGATTTCATGAGCTGGAGCGCATGGCCTACTACACAATGCATCAACAATCCGGACATTTATGAACTAGCAACAGAGAGTGGCACTGGCAGATACCATCAGAGAATCTTTCCAACCCTATCAACAGCCAGTCGAATACCTGTAATTGTAATGCGAAGAAATGACGCACTGTTCAACCTCGAGCGGCCCGAGCCTGCAATTCGTGTAGAGTGCCGAACATCCGATGCAATATCGACCTGGCCAGTGGACAGCTATGTACGCAATGTGTCAAAGCAGATGTGTCGTGTGTTATCGTGCCCCGAAAGCTGCAGAGGAAATCCCATGGAGTGGTGGAATCTCTAGTGAGGAGTTAGTGGAAACAGGCGTCGGGTATGACAGAGACAATATTCAGCAAGGGCTACAATATTGATACCAAGGTTCAGCGTAGAATAAGCCGGGAGGTAGATTCGTTGAATGTGTTACACGGTTTCTTTCGGCAAACTATTATCAATACTAGTTCTTCAAAGACAGCTTTCTGTTGCTTCTGTTACGTACGCTAAATTCAAAGTTAGCCTCGATTAGGTCGCTTTACTAAGATATCATGGCATATCAAAAGAGAGACTCACATGCCTATGTAGCCGGGCGTCTCTCGGAGGTGCATGCCTGTTTCTT